ACTCGAGGGGGCCGCCATTCCCTTCTCCAGGAGATCTTTCTGACCCAGGGATCAAACCCAGGTCTCCTGTATTGCAGGCAGAGTCTACCATCTGAGCCACCAGGGAAGCCCAGGAGAGGAGAGAGTGGGCTCAATTCCACATTAAACAGGAATTGTTTAATGTGATGATTTATAGTCGAAGAGCAGGTTGGGAGGTTGGTATGTGGAAAATTACCGAGAGATCCCAAGGGTAGGGGGATCTGGCTAAAGCCACTTAAGAGGATTCTTGCCGAAGGCAGGCCACATGATGAAATATCAAGGGTATGGGGGGAGGGGGGATGAGGAATTTGATCAGATGTCAAGGGGGAGGAAATGTCAGGGGTGGGGAGTCTCTCAAACTGACTTAGAGGATTGTTGCGAAAACTGGACTCAGCAGGCTGACAGGGAAACCCAGGGTGGGGCCCGGTTCAGAGCCTGACCAAAGTTTGGCCAAGGCGAGCATGTCAGGGAGTGGAAAGGGAGAACCCAGGTCCTCTGGCCTCTTCTGGGAGCCTGGGTCCTTGGGAAGGGCGCCGAGTTAGCCAGGCTGCACGGTGTCTCTGGGCAGCAAGGGTGGGAGTCACACGGGGATGGGGGTGGGGGAGATGCAAAGCAGGACCCCCCCCACCCCCCACCCCCCAGTGGCTCAGCAGGAGGCAGGCCTGTGCGAGCAGCGGTGGGGACAGGCGCGCTGGCCTGGCGCCCGGGGCGGCAGTATTCCAGAAGGGTCTTCTGGCCCGGCTGATACATCCCAGAGCTGAAATTAAGACAAAAGACTGTGAAGATAACACCTGCTGACACCAGCTGCAGGAAGGCCCTGGAAACTTTTATTATGAATTAGATTTTGCAGGCAACTCTGCTGGGTGAGCTGGTGCTGGGGCCGGTGAAAGGCTGTGCCACAGGCCAGCTGCCTTGAAGGCAAGAACTGCTTTCCAGGGGAGAGGAGAGGAAGGTGGTCCTCCGTCCTGGCCCAGGACCCTCATGAAGGGCCATTTGTGTCTTGGGAGTTGCCTTCCCTGGGAGAAGCTGGGGCTGGAACGGGCTTAGAGCACCTCTGGTCCAATGCTCCTGAAACCGTTTAACAGACTGGGACTCAAACCCATGGGCCAGGACTCAAACCCAGCCAGAACCCACACTGTCTTCTTGCTGAGATTATACACCTGGTTTCAGCATTTAACGAAGCTCAGGTTCTTCCTCATTGAAGAAAGAATTCAGTGAGAGACAAAGTGATAGGTAAGAAGTAGATTTATTTAGAGAGAAACACACTCCATGGCGTGTGCCGACTCAGAGAAAAAGAGGGGTTCAAAATATGACACAGTTTTCATGGGCTGGGTAGCTTCATAGTCTACTGAGTGGGAGGATTATTCCACCTATTTCGGGGGACGGGTGAGGATTTTCAGGAATCGGGCCACCACCCACTTTTTGGTCTTTGGTGGTTGGCCTCAGAAATGTCTTGGTGTCTATAGGTGAGTCAGTCACTTAGCTTGCGGATAAGTTACAGTGAGCGTGTACTGAGGCTCAAGATCTACTGGAAGTCAAATCTTCTGCCACCTTGGATCCATCTTTGGTTCTAATCAAATGGAATGTTGAGTCCTCGGGCTATGCCATTCTTTGAAGGTTGTGCTCTGCCCCCTTCCCTCCTGTTTCACTCCATTTTCCCGGAGCACAGAAGGGAGTTGTCCAAAGCCTCGCCACGCGTTACTGTCCACACTGGGGCTGGAGACCAGGACCCCTCATCCCAGGATGGCACACCTGACTGACGGGCAGTCCAGTAGTGAGCACACCTCCAGGCATTTGACTCAAGGAAATTCAGCTGTCAGTGCCGGGAGAGATGGAGTGAGACAAAGTCTGAGAGATAGGGAGACAGAAAGAGTGGGGCTGAGGCAGGAAAGAGACAGAAAGAGACCCTGGGGAGCCTGAGACATTAGGTTCAGAGCAGAGATGTGGACACCAGCAGGGCTAGACAGGACCTTGGTGATCCTCTGTTTTAACAACAATGAAATAGTATAGCTGGTGGTTTCCTTGTATAAAACTTTGGAGAAGTTTGGCATGGAATGGTAAAAAATAAATGCTTCGGACGCTTAAAGTGGCCAAACTTCTGTCTCTGAGGGTGTTTGAAATAAGGCTTGAAAAACTGAAGAGCTGCAGTAACATAACCCAGCTCCAGGAAATCTGAGTAAAGGGGACGTAGATGGCCTTTCTGCCACGGGCTGGGGTTCAGAACTGCGTGCCCTCTGTACCGCATTTCCTGATGCTTCTGCTGACAGAGGGAAATGTCCCAGAGATGAACAGAGCCCTCTCCTCCCCAGCTCCTCCCATCATGGTACCAGCAGATCTTCTCCAATTTCATAGCTCAGCTCAAATGCCACCTCTTCCAGGAAGCTTTCCCTGATTTCTCACTTGCATCCCTTGCCCCAGCTGGTATCCAGCACTTCCTCCTATAAATCCCTCTGGATACCCAGCCCCATGTCAGCCGCTTTTAATTTTCCACCTCATACAAGGTATCTATGAAAATATCGACGAAACAATCCCTATTCCACAGGAACTCCACAAGTCCTGCTCTAATCCTCACAACAAATGAACTAGGTTCATTTCTCCCTATCCTCTCAACAGGTAAGTGAGCTAAGGCTCCGAGAGAGTGAGTAACTTCTTTAAGTTCAGACAGAGGCAAAAGCAGGGCTCCAGCCCAGGTTTGCCTGACTCCAGGTCCTTGACTCTTTCCATGAAGGCTAATGACACGTCCTGAGGGCAGGGACTGTGTCCAGTCAGTGTGTCTGGCAGGCATTTGGCACTCGCCCTCTGTGTGTTCCCGAAAGAATGAAACAGTCGATGAATGAACGGATGAACGTTTTGACGGGTGTAGCTCAGTGGTCGGCAAACTACAGCCTGGAAGCCAAGTCCAGCTTGCCTCCTATTTTTGTAAATGACATTTCACTGCAGCGTGGCCACATGCCCGCTGCCCATGTTGTCTGTGCTGTTTCCACGCATGATGGTGGGGGTGCAGTGCAGTGGAGGCTGCCCGTGAAGCCTAAAATGCTTCCTCTCCCGCCCTTTCCAGATGAACTTTGCCGACTCCTGCTGTAGCTCATGGTCTTCACTAAGCTGATTTAAACAACCATGCTTACTGCTTCTATGACCTAGAATATTGTGTGTGTGTGTGTGTGTGCACATGTTTGTGCACTGGGTGCCTATCAAGTGTCAGATTTCCACACGTATCTGGTATGTATCACTTAATCATTTTACAGGAAAGCTTCATCTAAAAAAAAGTTTGTTGGCTCTTTGAAAATACTAACATTTTAAAATTAAGATTAGCTCTGTTGCCAGCACTTTGGCAGACATGGTGAAGCAACAAAGACCAAAGACCTTCCTTCCCTGGAGTGGAGGCGGGCAGACTGCCCCACCCCATCCCCATGCGGTGACAGGCTGGCCCTGTGAGGCTTGCCAGAAACAAAAGCAGCCTATTCGACGGCTGACCCCTGCTTCCTCGCTGCTGCAGGGGCATCAGTATCCGGGGCTCCCAAGCCCACCTCCTCCCCTGAGTGCTCCTCCTCTCCCAAGCCACCCCCCACCACCACCCACTGCATCCACCTGAGAGGTGAGAACACTGCCTCCCCCTTCCTGTTCCCAGGAGCTCAGGACTGGCCTCCGGACCCCTGGCCTCTGGGGCAGAAGCTGGGGTTGGCCAGCTCCCACTCCAGATGCCCAGCAGGCCAGGTGCTGGCAGCGCTGGGGGCATGATGACTCTCAGCCGGCCTCCAGAGGGTGTCCCCCTGCCAGTGTGCCTGGGCCCTGCCCGCGATGACCAGCCCACCCCTCAGCCTCACTCATCTGCTCACTGTTTCAGGATTACTATCATACAAGTTATCTATGAAAATATCGACGAAACAATCCCTATTCCACAGGAACTCCACAAGTCCTGCTCTAATCCTCACAACAAATGAACTAGGTTCATTTCTCCCTATCCTCTCAACAGGTAAGTGAGCTAAGGCTCCGAGAGAGTGAGTAACTTCCTTAAGTTCAGACAGAGGCAAAAGCAGGGCTCCAGCCCAGGTTTGCCTGACTCCAGGTCTTTGACTCTTTCCACGAAGGCTAATGACACGTCCTGAGGGCAGGGACTGTGTCCAGTCAGTGTGTCTGGCAGGCATTTGACACTCGCCCTCTGTGTGTTCCCGAATGAATGAAACAGTCGATGAATGAACGGACGAACGTTTTGACGGGTGTAGCTCAGTGGTCGGCAAACTACAGCCTGGAAGCCAAGTCCAGCTTGCCTCCTATTTTTGTAAATGACGTTTCACTGCAGCGTGGCCACATGTCCGCTGCCCATGTTGTCTGTGCTGTTTCCACGCATGATGGTGGGGGTGCAGTGCAGTGGAGGCTGCCCGTGAAGCCTAAAATGCTTCCTCTCCCGCCCTTTCCAGATGAACTTTGCCGACTCCTGCTGTAGCTCATGCTCTTCACTAAGCTGATTTAAACAACCATGCTTACTGCTTCTATGACCTAGAATATTGTGTGTGTGTGTGTATGCACGTGTTTGTGCACTGGGTGCCTATCAAGTGTCAGATTTCCACACGTATCTGGTATATATCACTTAATCATTTTACAGGAAAGCTTCATCTAAAAAAAAAGTTTGCTCTGTTGGCTCTTTGAAAATACTAACATTTTAAAATTAAGATTAGCTCTGGTGCCAGCACTTTGGCACAGACATGGTGAAGCAACAAAGACCAAAGACCTTCCTTCCCTGGAGTGGAGGCGGGCAGACTGCCCCACCCCATCCCCTGGCGGTGACAGGCTGGCCCTGTGAGGTTTGCCAGAATCAAAAGCAGCCTATTCGACGGCTGACCCCTGCTTCCTCGCTGCTGCAGGGGCATCAGTATCAGGGGCTCCCAAGCCCACCTCCTCCCCTGGGTGCTCCCCAGGACGCTCCTCCTCTCCCAAGCCACCCCCCACCACCACCCAGTGCATCCTCCTGAGAGGTGAGAACCCTGCCTCCCCCTTCCTGTTCCCAGGAGCTCAGGACTGGCCTCCGGACCCCTGGCCTCTGGGGCAGAAGCCAGGGTTGGCCAGCTCCCACCCCAGATGCCCAGCAGGCCAGGCGCAGGCAGCGCTGGGGGCGTGACGACTCTCAGCTGGCCTCCAGAGGGTGTCCCCCTGCCAGTGCGCCTGGGCCCTGCCCACGATGACCAGCCCACCCCTCAGCCTCACTCATCTGCTCACTGTTTCAGGATTGCTCTGTTACTCGGCTTGCTGTTTGGGTGAGTTGTGTGCATGCGTGTGTGTGTGTGTGTGTGTGTGTGTGTATTGCATGTTGCTTTGGGGAAAAAAAGACTCTTGGAAAGCCAAGTTGTTCTGGGGAACTTCCAACAGCCTTTAAATGTCCAAGTCCTCCACCGGTGTTGGAATTGCCGTGCAAAGGGGTTTGACGTTGGAGTTTGTGCGATCTTGGCTCCCACGCTTGTGTGTGCCCCTCCGGTGACCCTGGGTGGCAGGCTGGCAGCTGCCCCCTTGGCTCTGAAGCAGTGCGGTGCTCTGTGGTCCAGGGTCACCCTGGCATGGTGGCCAGGATGTTCTCCATCCAGACGTCTCCAGGCCGTGTCCTGCGGCTCACTGCCGTCCCACGACTCTAACGTGGTCTTTGAGAGAAGTGCAAATGCCTTCAAGACCTAGGGTCAGAATTCATGTCTCAGGCTGCATGTGGCATGAGTGGGGTTGAAGCCAAACTGTGGGGTGCAGCCTGGTCTGGAATCCGTGCATCAGGGGAAAGCAGGCAGACGGCAGGCAGGCAGGCTGAGAGCGTGGCTGTCGCTGAGCTGTCTGACTCACGGGCAGAAGCCCTAGGGACGCTGTGAGCATGTGCCCCCCCTCTCCGCGCCTCGGCTCTGGCGAGTGCACGTTCCCCCGGCACAGGAGCTTCAGAGGGGGCAGGAGGAGCAGGCTGAGCGCCAGCAGGTGCAGTTAGCGTGCGGCTGCACCTGCAATTTCCCCAACCTGCAAAGGTAGAAAGTTTGGGCCACTTCTTTCCCATGCTGCTCGATGCAAAACAAGGAGGCAGAAACAGAGGAAGCCATCTCTAGTGTGCTGCAGGTGGGCTGGCCTAGTGAGTGAGACCCAGATGGCCCAGATGGTGGTGATGCTGGGGCTCACCGTGGCTGAGAAAGGACTCTGGAGGGGGTTGGGGCCAAATCCCTTGTGGTGCAGTTGGGGAAACTGAGTCTCAGATGGCAGTGGGGAGTCGCACTGGGCCCCATGGCCCCATGTGCCTGGATTCACACTATGATCCAAGTCCCTGAGTTTCCAAGCATAAGTTTGAGTGAATCACTTTCCAAGACTCAAGGAGGTATTTTGTTCAAAGGGCAAAGAGAGCATCAACAACAGCAAAAGGGAAAAACCCACATGTCTGCAAAAACCTGCGTCACACCCAGGATTGTCCCCACCCAGGATGTGGCACAGCTGAGCCACGCACAGTGGAACTCCCGTGTCTGTGCGTCAGGGCAGGCAGTCCCGAGATTCCCGGGAGGTTGGCATTTCCCGGGGCTAAGCCTTGTGGAGCACCCAGGTTTCTGCAGGCCCCATGAGAGCGCGTGCACACACACACACACAGGGCTAAGCCTTGTGGAGAACCCAGGCTTCTGCAGGCCCCATGTACACACACACACACAGACACACACACACATGTGCACACACACACACACACACACACATGATGTTTTCCATTACAACAGTGCCTCTGGGGCTTTCCAGGCGGGACCTGAGCTCAGACACGATTCCATGGAGGCAGCCTAGTCTGGAGAGACCCACGGGCCACTCAGATGACCCCAAAATAGACGTGTGAAGTCCTGTCTTAGTGACCGGGAGGGAAGGGGGGGTGGGGGGAGCCGGAAACTGTTCCCAAACACGTCCACCTGATGGAAATATTCTGAGCTGGAATGAGCTGGAAATAAACTAGATGGTGCTAAAAACAAACCTCTCCAGGGAGCTGGGCAGGGGGCGGGGGTGCAGGCAGAAATAGATGGTCGTCACCTGCTGAAAATGAAGGGGGTCTAGGGGTAGGGCTGGGGGGCAGCCCCTGCGGAAGCCTTAACAGGAAGAGCAGCGGCCGCAGTGTGCCTGCTAGGGGAGCGCCAGCGTCCAGGGGGCGGCCTGGAGTAGGGCTCTGACGGAGCCAGGGTCTTCCGCCTGTGGAGGCCACACAGGGTGCGGGTTGCAGAGGCCCCAGGGCCCTGGAAGTTCTGGAAACTGGAGTGATGAGCAGCGCACCGTCATGAGCTGCCCCCAGCTGCCCCGGCTGGGAGAGCCCATGTGGACAACCACAGCTCAGTCCTGGCTGTCCACCGAGGCCGGGCGGGGGCAAAGGAGAGGCTGCAGTGACCGGTCCAGAGCCAGGTCAGACTGGGCGTCCCCACAGGCGGCCCTCCAGCATCAAGTTGCAAAGCCCCACTGCTAGAATAAAGGCTTCCTTGCCCCCTCTTGCGAGATGCCCGTGGGTACCCTGCTGCGTGTCCTCACTCCTCACGATGAGGCGGAGCCCGCTGTGTTCAGCACCAGGTGTGACTTGGAGGCGCTGACACTTTCTATAATGTATCAGGTGGTTGTTCCAGGAGCCTCCGGCCTTCTTAGCTCCTGACCTTTATTTCCACAGTCAGTCCAGAGCAGCAGGAAGGACTCTTTGAACCAGAGTTCAAATCCTGTCTCTGTCACTTATAAGTTGTATGACCTTGAGCAATTGCTTCACCTCTTTGCCTCAGCTAATGGGCCTGTAAAATGTGATCATAGTAATAATAGTACTTAACTCTCAGGGTTGCTCTGAGGATTGTTGTTATTCAGTTGCTCTTTGTGACCTCAAAACACAGTAGGACAGTAGCATATCCGGCTTTCCTGCCCTTCAACATCTCCTGCAGCCTGCTCAAACTCACATCCACCAAGTCCCAAACTCACGTCCACCAAGTCCATGATGCCATCCAACCATCTCATCCTCTGTCATCCCCTTCTTCTCCCGCCTTCAATCTTTTCCAGCATCACGGTCTTTTCCAATGAGTCAGCTCTTCGCATCAGGTGGCCAAAGTATTGGAGTTTCAGCTTCAGCATCAGTCCTTCCAATGAATATTCAGGACGANCAGAGCATCCCACCTAAGGTGGGCGGGGCCTTCAAGGCCAGAGAGCAGGGGGCGGTCCCTAGCCGCGGGAGGGCCTCCAGGGAGATGCTGAGACTACTTCCAAAACCGGGACACTCGCTGGCTTGTCTGACAAAAGAAAGTGGGTTCCATCACCCTTCATTTAAACGACAACCCCCTGTCCGTGATATGGAAGATGTCCCACAAAGACTAAGACTTTCTGCTTCCAGTGGGTGTTTGGTCAATGGTATTCTTGCCTTCTAAGGATTCTGAAGTTCTTAAGCTCACTGTAACATCATAAAATGGGCTCCCATCACCATCCCTAGACCAACACGGACAGGAGAGAAAGAGCCATAGGACAATGTAGGTGCTGCTTTCTCAGCCCCATAGGCCAGAGAACCCTGGGATGATAGAGCAGGAAGGTGACTCAAAGATGCATTCAACCCCCATGAAAATGTTGCCCGGAGAGGTGACAATTATCAGTTATACAGTGCCAGAAATTAGCGGAGGCATTGCTCATACCCAAGTCTCTGAACTCTATGTTTAATCCTCTTCTCACGCATAAAATGAGAAAGGCCCAAGCAAGTATTCTCATGAGCCCAGTATATTGCCATTCATCTGGAATCCGTGTGGCAACAAATGAACCAGCTTTCCATTTTGTGCGTTCTGCAACCGACTCTATGAAAAATTCAAAGGGCATATTAACAGGCCAAATATCAGGTGCTTTTTCAGGGGAAATTCCAGGCAGAGACTGAAGTGCATAAGGATACTCTTGAAACAGATGGAAAGACAAGTTTCCGCAAAGAGGAGACAGAACGAAGACTCATTGTACAGCTAAACATGGTCATTGTACAGTTAAACAATAATACCAAATCCAAAATGAAAACGAAATAGATGGAGATGAGTAAAGAAACCCAGGAAAACTGAAGACAGAGCAATAGAAATTAACCATATTGAACAGCATAAGAGATAGAATAAGCCTCGTTCAAAAAGATTGAGAAAATAATCAGAGTTCAGGGGCCTATGGGACAGTTCCAGAGGGTTTTACATTTAGACCTTAAAGAAGAAAAAGGGTAGTGCGGAAATATATTTAAAGAAATAATGCATGAACGCTTCCCCAGTTTGCTAACAGAAATATAGACAAATTCAACAAGCATAGTGAACTTGAAATATGATGAACCCCCATAATTCACCTCAAGACCTATCACCATCGAATTGCTGAAAATTAATACTTTGGCCACCTGCTGTGAAGAGCTGAATCATTTGAAAAGACCCTGATGCTGGGAAAGATTGAGGGCAGGAGGAGAAGGGGACAACAGAGGATGAGATGGTTGGATGGCATCACTGACTCAATGGACATGAGTTTGGGTAAACTCCAGGAGTTGGTAATGGACAGGGAGGCCTGGCGTGCTGCGGTTCATGGGGTTGCAACGAGTCAGACACAATTGAGCGACTGAACTGAACTGATTGGTCATCTGGATGTCTTTGGAGAAATGTCTGTTTAAGCTTTCTGTCCATTTTTTGATTGGGTTGTTTGTTTTTTGTTATTGAGCTGTATGAGCTCTTGGTATATTTTGGAGATTAATCCCTTGTTGGCTGCATCATTTGCAAATATTTCCTCCCATTCTGTAGGTTGTCTTTGTTTTGTTTATGGTTTCCTTTGCTGTGTCAAAGCTTATTAGTTTGGTTAAGTCTCTTTTGTTTATTTTTGCTTTTATTTCTATTGCCTTGGAAGACTGCCAAGGAAAACATTGGTACAGTTTATTTCAGAGAGTGTTTCATGGGACCTTGTTAGAAATTTTCATTTTCAGTTGTCACAACAGCTGAGCCGAGAGGTTTCCTGCAGTGGGACAGCATCATATGCGTGTCCCATATCCCACATGACTGTGAAATGTCACATGGAAGATGCATACATTTTATAATTATCTCATCCTAGGAGCTAATTCTCTTTCATAGCAATATTTGTTGAACTGGTATATATGAAACTGAGTTTTCTCATTCAACAACTGGTGAGTAGTGACTCTGCTTTGTTTGGTTGGGATTTTATGGGTATTTTCCCTCATTTGAGAAAAACATCTCACAGTGGGCATCTCACTTGAAGCATTTGCATTGCAGATGCCACACCTTATGTTAGTAGACTTTGCGTTCAGTGTGGTTTCACACGCAGGCACGAGCATCTAACCATGTCATCAAGTTTTCTGACGTTCTACTGCTCAACAAAATAAGCATTTCAAAACATGCATTTTTATATCATAAATCACTTTTCTGAAAGCTCTCTTTTATATTACATTCAGAGCATTACATTGATTTTTAAGTGGCATAGGTATGTTAAGTGGCATAGGTATGTTGTCTTATTTTTGGATTCGATTTTGGGATAACAAAGGGATCTTTAAAGATACTTCTTACGAATGGGGCCTTGCGTCTGAGGGGGCTGAGGACCACTGGTCCAGAGAGCGGGATGCTCCCCCGCTGGGTGCAAGGGTGTAGGTGCGTGCGGTGATTCCCGGGATGCTGGAGCTGACGCCGGCAGCCCCACACTGCGTGCCTTCTGGGACGCACCTGCTGGCTGCCTGATGTCGAGTCAGGCCTTGGATCACAGGGTGGAAGGAAAAGACCGGCGCTGTCCCCGGGAGACAAGTCTGAAAACTGGTTTCAGGGCAGAGAAGGGTGTGAAGGGCAACCCACCAGTCAGAGTCGGAGGAGGGGTGGACCAGGAGGCACCATCATGAGACCAGGGCGGGGAGCTGGAAAATCAACAGCTCTGGGCAATGTTTGAGAAGTACGTGTGTTTCGGTGAACAAGCGTCCACTTTTCCGTTGGTGAACACATACTCCTGAGAGTTGCTGAGCCATAAGATGTGCCTGCATTCAGCTTTAGGAGATGATTTGGCGAGTTTTCCAAAGAGGTTGAGCCCATTTTCTCTCCCGCTGGCCAATGAGTGAGAATTCTGGTTGTCCCACACCCTTGCCGACAAGCAGGGATCAGGATGCCCGTCACAGACACGATGTCGAGCCAAAGAAGGATGATGTTCATACGAAGCTCAAATGCAGCCACAAAGACTCCCCCAGGCTGGGAGCCAGGGCGGTGGGCAGGGAGCAGGGCAGAGACTGGACAGGAGCTGAAGGGGCTCCTGGAGGCTGGGGAGTTCGGGATCTCTACCCGGGGTGCTGCAGGAATCCTTGGGGACCTGTGTCCTTTCTACCAGGACCAGCTCAGCACTGGACGTGTGCTCACGTTGAACACCTGCCCGTGAAGCTGCAAGGATCCAGGGCCCCCTCGTCATCTCACTCCTGTGTCTGAAGACATTAGCCTGTAGCTCTTCTGTGAGCAGGAGTGGCCCGAATGTCTGTGTCGAGTCTGGAGTCAAACGGATGCTTGAAATCTTGGCCCGGGGCACTGCCTCTCCCAGGAAAGGGTTCCTTCCAGACACGGTGTCAAGGGTGTGAGCAGACCCTGCCTTCTCCCCAGCTGAGAGAAAGGGGCACCTGGCGGGTCTATCTGAACCGTATGCTGTCTGTCCTGTCTACAAAGTGACCGTCAGCGTCTGGAGAAGGAGCCTGACCTCTCCCAGCGGTCCCAGCGGCCGCAGTGCGCACCCAGCGAGGCGGGGAGGGCCCAGTCAGGGCGAGGCAGGGGTGGCCCAGCAGGCTGGAAGTGAGAGGCGGCCGGCCGTCGGGGGTGGCACACGGTCTCCGCCCTTCCGCGGCACAGTGGGCACCCCGAGGCCCTGACGCAGGCCCCACACTAACGAGCAGGGGGTTTCTCCGAGCAGCCCTGCCTGGCCTGGATCAGAAGAGACGCGGCGGCCCCCGAACATGCTGCCTGCTGACGCCCCCGCCGCCCCCGCTGTTCCCGCCGCCCTTCTTCCGAGGTGGCCGGGGCCCGGTGAGTACCGCTGACTGTCGGGGGTCCCAGGGCCGCCCCTCCGCCGGGCGGGGGCTCCTCCCGGGGCTGTCCTCAGGGGCCGGTTCTCTGCACCCCGCTGGTGCCCGTGCACCTCAAGCGGGATGGAGGGAGGGAGATGCTTCCTCACCGAGAACGGGGCTGGGCCGTTCAGCTGGCCAGCAGACAACGTGTCTGTCTCGGCAGGCAGACGGCGGGGCAAGTGTCCCGTCGGCTCAGAGACACTGAGGTCAACTGATACTTTCTGGGCTCCTGTCAGCGGCTCAGATGTGGAGTTTCCCCCTCTTGTTTTTTCTTCTCCCTAAGCGCGTGTGAAATTTCCTTCTTACTCGGTTATCCATGAAATGACACAGTAGACAGTCCTGTGAGGGAGAACAGAACTGAGGAAAGGGAGGGAAAGGGAGGGAAAGAGCAGGATGGGGAAGCTGAGCTGGAAGGCATTTCAGGGGCTCTAGATGCTCAGATCTTTCCAGAACCTCTTAGACCCGTGCTGTCCAATACACTAGCCTCTGGCCCTATCTGGCCAGTTCCAATTGAGATGTGCGGAGTATAAAATACACACGGAATGCCTTTTACAATGATGCAAACATATCTCAGTAATTTTTTTTCTTGCATTGAATTAATATTTCGGATATATTGGGTAAGATAAAATACTCACCAGAATTAATTTCACATGTCCCCTTTTACCTTTTTTATGTGGTTATGAGAACATTTAAGATGGCACAGGGGTCTCGCATTAGTGACTCATTTTACTCCTATTGGATGGTACTGTCCTGGATGCCAGGTGAAGGCCCCCGAGTGAGTTGCTAACTCCATCCAGAGTGGTTGCTTTTTCTCTGTAATCCATTTAAGCCGGGTTGTCTCAGCAGATGGGAGGAAGGGGACTGGGAGTCAGAGGTCGCCTTCCTGAGATGCCCACTGGGGAGTCAGGGAACGGCCAGCCTCGGGGCCTGGGCTGTGGAACAGGTCTGTGCCCGGGGGCTGACTCTTCTTCTGCGCCCCTGGTCAGGTCTATAACCCGTGTCACTTTGTCTTGAAGCTTCTCTCCCCGGACATGAACGGGGCTGGGCCGTTCAGCTGGCCAGCAGACAACGTGTCTGTCTCGGCAGGCAGACGGCGGGGCAAGTGTCCTGTCGGCTCAGAGACACTGAGGTCAACTGATACTTTCTGGGCTCCTGTCAGCGGCTCAGACGTGGAGTTTCCCCCTCTTGTTTTTTCTTCTCCCTAAGCGCGTGTGAAATTTCCTTCTTACTCGGTTATCCATGAAGTGACACAGTAGACAGTCCTGTGAGGGAGAACAGAACTGAGAAAAGGGAGGGAAAGGGAGGGAAAGAGCAAGATGGGGAAGCTGAGCTGGAAGGCATTTCAGGGGCTCTAGGTGCTCAGATCTTTCCAGAACCTCTTAGACCTGTACTGTCCAATACACTAGCCTCTGGCCCTATCTGGCCAGTTCCAATTGAGATGTGCGGAGTATCAAATACACACGGAATGCCTTTTACAATGATGCAAAAATATCTCAGTAATTTTTTTTCTTGCATTGAATTAATATTTCGGATATATTGGGTAAGATAAAATACTCACCAGAATTAATTTCACATGTCCCCTTTTACCTTTTTTATGTGGTTATGAGAACATTTAAGATGGCACAGGGGTCTCGCATTAGTGACTCATTTTACTCCTATTGGATGGTACTGTCCTGGATGCCAGGTGAAGGCCCCCGAGTGAGTTGCTAACTCCATCCAGAGTGGTTGCTTTTTCTCTGTAATCCATTTAAGCCGGGTTGTCTCAGCAGATGGGAGGAAGGGGACTGGGAGTCAGAGGTCGCCTTCCTGAGATGCCCACTGGGGAGTCAGGGAACGGCCAGCCTCGGGGCCTGGGCTGTGGAACAGGTCTGTGCCCGGGGGCTGACTCTTCTTCTGCGCCCCTGGTCAGGTCTATAACCCGTGTCACTTTGTCTTGAAGCTTCTCTCCCCGGACATGAAGAATCTCGTCCTGGAACTGGAGACGGCACGGTCCCCATGTGTGCATGGGTCGCTCAGCTCATCTGGGCCTCCAGGCCCGCAGGTCAGTGCACCCCCAGGCCCTTCCCCTGAGGTCCTCTGCTCAGGGCAGGGACCCTCGCCCGCCCGCCACACCCCGGGCAGGGACCCTCCCCCGCCCGCCACACCCCGGGAAGAGCTGCCCTCCTTCAGGTGCCTTGGGGTTGTTTTCCTGCCCTGGAGGAACCACGTGGTTCTTCTCTGGCCGATTCTGCCTCCCAGCCTCAATGTGCCCATCTGCACAATGGGGATGTAACTTCCCCTGCAGTAGTAGATGTGGGAGGTGGCCAGGGGAGCTACTGCCTGGATGGGCTGGTTATTGTTATAGCGGTCATCAGAAGAATGCTCAGGGGCAGCGCGACTGCTCACCCCCCCAGAGGGGCCTGCATGCAGGGCAGAGAACAGGGCAACAAGGGACGCGGTGCTCTGAGCGCATTTTGGCCCCAGACTCGGGCCCCAACCAGCCCGCCCCTCCCCACCAGAGCTCAGGTCAGAGTGAGGAGCAGGCCGAATGCTGGTGGAAGGATTTTCTAGGGAGACAAAGGGTCCCCTCCAGAGACTGTCTCACAGACTCCTGGGCCCTCTGGCCAGCCTGGGAGAGGGGGTCCATCGAGGAGGACCTGGGGTCTGGAAGTCTGTCACCTCTCCTGTGGCTTCCCGTCACAGGAAGACTAAGACACACTCCTCACCCTGGGAGCAGAGCCCCGCGTGGGGACCCGTATCTCCCGCAAACTGTCTCCCATGATGTCACGGCCCGCCCGGTGCAGCCGCAGCGTGTGTCCTGGGTTCTCAACCACCGGAAGTCTCTGGCGGCCCTAGGGCCTTGCTTGAGGCTCCGGCTAGCTGCAATGCCCTTCCTTCAGACTGTCCCCGTGGCCAGCTCCTCTGTCCCTCAGAACCCAGGTGCCCCACCTCCTCAGACATGCCCCCTCCACCCCCCATCTGCAGTAACCACCCCATCACTCTCCACCCAGGGACCAATTTTCCTTCTCTGCATAGTTTTCTCATGTCGTTATAGTTTTATTCTTGTTCCTAGACTCGTGGGTCTGCCCGCCTCCATAAAATACAAGCTCTATGCCTGAGGTTGGCAAACTATGGCCAAGGGTCCAGTCCGGCATGTTTTGTAATTAAAGTTTATCGTTCTCTGGCGACTTCTTGCGCTGAAGGGCAGAGTCATGACAGAATTGCTGTATCAGAGGCAGAGCCAAAGTGTTTCCTGTCTGGCTCCTTGCAGACCAGCTCTTGAGAGCAGGGACGCTGTCCATCTTGCTTTGTGCCCACCCACACCAGTACCTGGGGTGTAGTCCTGGCTTGTGTTCCTGGGCAATTTTAAAAGGTCCCCAAGAGCTTGTAATGTGCAGAGAGGCTTGGAATCCCTTGGCTGGGAAGTAGAGATTCCCCGTAAATGTTTATTGAATGCAGTGAGGAAAGCAGGACTTGGGACCCACAGTTGGCCAGAACTGCCACAGAGGCTCTGGGAAGTCTACAGAGACGCACGGTGGGTGCCCAAGCCCAACCCCCAAGGGGGTTTCCAACCTGGCAACCCCCAAACGGGGCAACCGCAAAAAAACCAACGGAAAGGAAAGGGGTCCCGGCTGCCCGGAGGCCACGTCTCCAGCTCCACAGGAACCTCTCTGACCTGGTGCAAGCCCACGTGGGTCCCTAGGAGGCTGTGTGGCTGGCTCCGGGGATCCCACAGCCACCTCTGCGCTCCAGGAACACAGGGTGACCCTGTACCCACGCAGAGGGGGAGTCTCGGAACCACAACTGCCAGCACTGGGAACTTGCTGGAAGCACAGGATCTCAGCCTCCCCTCCCCCCATCCCACCCCCTCTCATCAGAACCTGCATCTTAACAAGACTCCCCAGAGGGAATCACCCTCATGCCAAAGTTTGGGAAGCCCTGAGCTAGGGACAGCATCATGGCCTGATAAATAGTTCTAGCCTATTTGAAGAAAACAAAAATCACTGAGGCTTGGAAAAGAAGAAAGAATGGAACTGAAACTCTCCCTTTCCACCCCCTCCCCCAAACAGAAGGAGAAGAAACCAAAAATCGGTGGTTCCCCAATTTTTCTGCCCATTAGAATCCCCTGGGATGCCTGTGTCCCTGGGGAATTTTAAAAGGTCTCCCAATGGCATTTGATGTGCAGAGAGGATTGGAATCCCTTGGCTGGAGTGGGTCATTTGAACAAGCTTCACAGAAATCCTATTTCAGGCAGGCTTCATGTAAGGCGTGCTCACCTGCAGATCTTGGGGATGAAGAGGCAGCCCGGGGGTTTTGGTGGATTTCCTCTCTGCCATCCCGGGGAGCTTGGCAGACAGCTGCCAACTGAGGGTTTCATAGGCATGTGCACCGAGGGCAGCTGCATCCTGCCGTATGTGCCAAGCTCCAGTGCGACAGGCGCGGGGGGTCCCCGAGCTGGACTCGGCCCCACCCCCTGGCCGGGCAGTGGGACAAAAATGCACTCTTCACCTGCCCACCCTCTTAGCATCTTGAAACAGAAGGCTTTTTGCTCTTCCTGGTACCCAGAGGTCCACCACGGGGATTTCTGTGTCAGCCACTCCTGCGAGCAAAGCCTCACTTCTGTCTGGTCAGGGCCCCAGGGGAACTTGGTAAAAGCAGTGGATAAGAGGTGAGAGGTGGTGAAGCAGATAGCCCTTCTTAAGTCCCTTGAGTTGCTCTCACCAGGCACTCAGGAGGCTCAGCCTATCGGAGAATTCCAGGGAGAAAAGGAAGATCACAGAGAGCAGGTGTGTGAGCACCGCAGTAACAGTGATGCTGAAAACAGCCCAGAGAAAGCAAGAAGAAGGTCCCAGGGAGGAGGATGGGCCTGGCCTGGACGGGGCGCAGGGAACTTCCTGCCATGCCAGGATCCCTGAGTCTGCAGCGAGAACTGCCTACTGAGGGGCCAGGGCACCCAGGGCGCCCTCTCACCCGTCCTGCCTCTGGCTGATGTGGGCTTTGTTCTCTTTTTATCTTGATCGCGTAGGGCCCACCTGGGCTTCCTGGCAAGACTGGACCAAAGGGAGAGAAGGTATGAAGCACCTCTGTCTTCACCCCCACCTCCCCTGGGTAACGCCAGCCTGGTTTCTAGGGATGCCCCTGAGGGTTTTATGGTTGAGATTTCAAAGCGTGTGCTCGTCCTGCCTTAGAGGGTGACGATGGGCTCCATGGTGATGGTGGGCGTGGGACCCCATCTGTCCATCTCAGCGGGGCCCCGTGATGTGGCGGGGACGCTCTGAGCCTCCAGGACACCTCGCTGCGTGGGCACGCCGGCTCATCAGGCCTGCCAAGCTCTCAGGTTCCAGAACTTTTCCTCCAAAGCAGTCTCTGCTTACCTGTCTTCTCCATCCACAGGGGGAGCTTGGTCGACCAGGAAGGAAGGTACAGTCCACGTTACCCTGTCAGAATTACACGGGCAGCTGTGCTGGGCACGTGAGACTGTGTGCCCTCGGGGTGGGGACCAGCTGCACACTCCGGAGCCCCGATCCCCAGGCGTCATCCTGATGAGGACGGAAGTGACCACCTCTGTCTGCCTGCTTCTCAGTCAGGGGCTGCAGCCTGCCCCTGGTGACATTCAGACTTTGGAAGCTGTCAAGCCTGGCCAGGGTCCCCCCCAGCCTCATCCTGCCGTCCATCAGAGAAACCCTCCAAGGCCCCAGCCGGCGGCACCAAATGACTCTCAGGCTCATCAGGCCTGCCAAGCTCTCAGGTTCCAGAACTTTTCCTCCAAAGCAGTCTCTGCTTACCTGTCTTCTCCATCCACAGGGGGAGCTTGGTCGACCAGGAAGGAAGGTATGGTCCACGTTACCCTGTAAGAATTACACGGGCAGCTGTGCTGGGCACGTGAGACTGTGTGTCCTCGGGGTGGGGACCGGCTGCACACTCCGCAGCCCGGATCCCCAGGCATCATCCTGATGAGGACGGAAGTGACCAACTCTGTCTGCCTGCTTCTCAGTCAGGGGCTGCAGCCTGCCCCTGGTGACATTCAGACTTTGGAAGCTGCCAAGCCTGGCCAGGGTCCCCCCCAGCCTCATCCTGCCGTCCATCAGAGAAACCCTCCAAGGCCCCAGCCGGCGGCACCAAATGACTCTCACTGTCGATTTGATTAAACTGGAATTAAGTGTCAGACAAAAATGAACGGCTTTGCCTCAGGGCCCAGCTGAAATAAATGGGAGTTAGCTCAGGTCGCAGGGACTCTGAATAAACCAAATGTGTTATTAAGACTCTCATTAGCATCAGGAAGGAGTCAGTCAACCATTGCCCACTGCAGTCAGGGGATGCTGTCACTGAAATTGTCGGTCTTGGTGATACAGAAGAAAGTTCAAGAACAAGAAAAGATGCTCATGGTTCTAAATATAAATTACTATTTCCCCAGTTATTTTATTCAAATACTTTTACTATCAATAAGAACCTCAAACAGACCTTTGTATGACAAAGGCCCACCCCTTTGGACACAGTTGACCTCCAGCCAAGGCCTAGTGGTTATCTGAAGCGCGGGGCTGGGAGGATCCTGGGGCCTGTGATTGCTTAGTGATGTCTGCCGTGGGTGAAGCAGGCAGGAGCGGGAGCTAGCGTGCCCACAAGCACCGTGATCTCCGGGTGAGGGATAAGAGAGAGAGCGGCTTTAATCATTAATTCACTTGCACATGGCATGGACCACCTCTATCTCTGTGTCAAGCAAACCCAGCTGAGGCCAAGGAGCTGTGGAAGAGTAAGCCCGGCAGGAGAGTGTGGGGGCAGTGAGCTGGGGTCTGTATTGACCTCTGCACCCACTGGCTAATTTCGGTTAGCCTAGCTGGGGATGTGGAAGGCTGTGGTATCAGGTGACATCCAGCTTCAGCCTGAGCCACAGAGGAGCTCTGCGGTGGGAAAGGCAACAGAGAATTGGTCCTGCCTCACCTTGATGTAAGGGCGCTGGGCTGTTGGCTTCAGGAAGGGGTGATGAGTCAGTTGCTGGGCAGCTCCAGCCCCCAGCAAATCCACACATGCAGGTTGCAGGAAGGAGTGAGTTGTTATGGCAAGGAAGGTGTCCTCTGGGAGGTGGGCATGCTGAGCAGGGGACAGACCTCAAGGGAAAGGGCCCAGCATCGGTCGCTGACCCCCAAACCTCACCTTCCCCCTTCTATGCTGCCTCCTTGGAGAGAATATATTGGAATGCAGGGGGTGTGTGGGTGGGTGATAACGATCAAAGGACGTATAGAGCTCCTTCCCACCACCTTCCATCTCTTAAATGGAACAATCTCGTGTGTCGACATCATGTGATACCAAGGGCTTCAACCCATCCGAGTGGCCCAGCTTTCCAGGCCATGAGTCTTTGGAGGTGGGGATGAGGGTCCCAGGGCCAGGCTTGATCCCATACTCCCTACCAGGCCACCACAGAGACAAATCTGTTTTCAGAGGGAGGGGAACAAGCCCAATAGTCCTAACTTTGGTTCTCTGTCTTTGAAGGGCAGACCTGGCCCCCCAGGAGTTCCTGGCATGCCTGGGCCTGTCGGCTGGCCCGGCCCTGAAGGCCCCAGGGTAAGTGTGGCAGCTCCCAGGGCATCAGAACTCGAGGGGAGGAGGTGGCGGCTCCCTTGTCTCCTGGCACAGTCGGCGAAACTCAACCTCCTCAAGACAGGGAGAAAGGAGAGAGCCCAAGGACCGCCCAGAGGGCCCCCAACACTTCCTCCCTTGCCTGGGCCAGAAGACTGTGGTCAGTCCCACAGCTGCTCCTGTGGGAGGAGAAACAAGGGCCTGCTGCCGCGTTCCAGGGGCCCTGTCCTGCTCTGTCCTGAGGGTTAGCTCCCAATTCTTTGGCTCCCTGAGATGACCCCAAAGGAGCTTGTGTCTGGAAGGTTGTTGGCCCATCATACTAACTGGGCAGGGGGTGGAGGGTGAGGGCAAGGGAGTCTGGGGCTAGAACCATGGATACCCTGCTTTCACAGATGGATCACTAAATGCTGGGGAAATCCCCTTCCTCAGACAGGTGAGGAGAAGCTGACACACCCACACGCATGTCTTTTTACACACTTTGGCTGTAGACTATTGCATGCAGAGGCCATGACTTAGAACTGACCTGCAGAAGTCAGGGGTGGGCAGGCAAATGTCACCATCTGCTCTGACTCACTGGCTGCATTTATTATGAGACTAGAAAATTGTTCCCAGTCATCTTTAGGAAAATTCCCAAGGATATGTCCTTAAAAACCCACTGTTCAGAATGCTTGGCCATCCTGTATGGCAGCCACTAACCACATGTGACTATTGAGCCCTTGAAATGTGCGAAGTGCAGTTGAGGAACTGAAATTTTTTCAATTAATTTAAGTTTGAATTTAAAAATCTTTACTCAGTTCAGTTATTTGAAAACATCTAAGTATTTTTGAACAAGTTGAGTTGAAATCTGCTTTTTTAACTATAAATTTTATGAAATCTAATACAGATCAAGTATTTTGGATGAAAATTTAGCACCTGAATTGAGGTGTGATGTAAATTTAAATACACAATGGATTTCAAATATTTATTGTGAAAAATCAAATGTAAAACTTTCATGGATACTTTTTCATTGATGACACATTTAAAATAATTGGATTATTAAATAGTGATTAATAATTAACTAGAGTAAATTTAATGTTTAAATTTAAAGTTAAATTCATCCGTTTAGTTTTACTTTTAAGGTGACTTCTAAAAAAATTTAAAATTAAGTATGTGGCTCACCTTATATTTCTACTCTTTAGTGCTGGTTAAAGCTTTTTAGCACAGAAGGTACTAAAAGTTCTAACTGTAAACCACTCTGAAGGGTAACAGATCCCATCCATGAATCCTAGTCCCCTGCTTCCACCCAGAGGTTAATGGTCACTCTGCTTGGCTGCAAACCTAGAGAAAGAGTATATGGAAACATCTGAAAGGCCCTCCCTATGCAAACAGCAGAGCAGATGTAGTTTTTTTGAGCACAGATACCTTGTCCTTTGAGAACCCAAGTGCCTTCATGCTCTCCTCCCCATCCTTTCCCAACCCTCTCTGGGAGAAGATCAAATGTCAGTTCATTTATAACACATGATTGAGCATTTGGTTTGGAGAGCTGCTCTACCTAGGACAGTTTCCTTCTATGTTTCATGACAAATACCAGAATGAAGCCTGGAGTCTGCAGTCTTGGGCCCCTGGGAGTGAACAAGGGAGCATTTGGGGTCCTGAGATTCACAGGCCAGCCTCGATATCCCCAGCTCCATCCTGATCTAGCCCATGCCTCTCCTGGTTCAGTTTCTCTAGGAAATGTCACTGGAGGTCCTTTTTCCCCCCCTTCTTGTGATTCCCACAGGGTGAAAAAGGTGACCTGGGTCTGATGGGCTTGCCAGGGTCAAGAGGACCAATGGGCTCCAAGGTCAGTGTGTTGGTCCAGACAGATGGTTCCAGGTCTTCTGATTAAGGCTCTAGAGCAGCTGGTGTCTATAAAGTGGGGACTGGGTGACTGCTGTCCTGGGCTGGGGATTATCACAGCCCAGGAGATGTTGGAGAGGCTGGTGCCAGGCTGTGCTTATCTTTACTAGCCCTCAGGGGGGCATGCCCTGGGACACGGGGCAGAAGAAGGCCATTCCTGCTGTTCTCTTGGACAATGAGGGTCAAACCTCTGGACAACAAAGCAGATGGAAACCTTTTGTTTGGGCCTTTGAGGGTGGGGGTTAAGAAAAGCAATGTTCTTTTTAGGCCTGGTGTAAACACAACCCTCAGGGACATCTTTATACTCACGGCTGCAACCTCCCCTGACCCCCACCCTAGAACGTGCAGCCCAGTGTGGAGACACATCCCACCACCCCATCCAGGGGTTCCTTCCACTCTTACTCCAGGCCCGGAGGTCCTACAGGGCTGACTGTCAATGCGCCTTCTGCTTTCTTTTAGGGCTACCCTGGATCCAGAGGGGAAAAGGTTTGTGCTTGTCTCTGATGGCTCCCAGAGCCGAGTCTGGGGTCCGTGATGCACAGAGCATGGGCCCGGGGGTCTCTTTAGTCAGTGGCTGCAGCCGCCACCTCTCGATGTTACCCTGTCCTTCGTCAGTGGGCCGCGAGACAGAAGTGAGGGCCCCTGAGCCAGGGCAGGCGGGTTAGGGAGGCAGTCCCAGTGGAAGTGGAAGCCCCTCACGTGGAGCAGGTAAGGGCTGGAGGTTGTGTCAGGTGCAGCCTGAACACCCCTGGCAGGGGGAGCTGGGCGAAGATGGTAGATGTGTGACTTGGGCCCCGCTTCTACCACACAGCCTCAGTGTCTGTCAAAAATGGAGTAAAAAATCCAGCCATACCCTGAGGACAAATTTCCTAGAAGATAGGAGAAAATCTAGGACCCAGAATTTTCTGTGGAGTGTCCTTTATTAATGTAAGCGGTTTGGGGGATTCCAAATAGGAGGTATCTCCTAAAGAAGACCTTCCCTGGGCATACCGTCTTCTAAGGGCAGTGAGGGTGCTGACCTGTGGAGTTTTCAGTTAGAAATGCTCCAGTTTTTCTCCTGGGAGTTAACTCATTGACTCTCTCCTATGGTTTCCTCTTAGGGATCCAGAGGTGAAAGGGGTGACTTGGGTCCCAAAGGAGAAAAGGTAATGGGCATTTCATAGAAATGATAAACTACAGCAGAAGTGACATCCCCTACCAATCCACATTTGTGGGCGGGCTGACTGACTGCCTGGCTGCTGACTGACTGAATGACTGACTCACTAGATGGCTGACAGGCTGCTGACTGACTGAATGACTGACTATCTGGCTGGCTGCTGACTGACTGACTGACTGACTGGCTGGCTGACTGGCTGGCTGGCTGGCTAACTGGCTGGCTGACTGCCTGGCTGACTGCCTGGCTGCTGACTGGCTGGCTGACTAATTGGCTGCTGACTGACTGAATGACTGACTGCCTGGCTACTTACTGACTGAATGATTGACTGGCTGACTGGCTGCTGACTGCTAATTGACTGACTGACTGGCTGGCTGGCTGACTGGTTGCTGACTGACTGAATGACTGATTGACTGGTTGCTGACTGACTGGCTGGCTGGCTGCTTACTGACTGAATGATTGACTGACTGGCTGACTGACTGACTGACTGCTGACTGACTGAATGACTAACTGACTGGCTGACTGCCTGGCTGCTTACTGACTGAATGACTGACTGGCTGGCTGGCTGACTGGCTGCTGACTGACTGAATGACTGATTGACTGGCTGACTGACTGGCTGGCTGGCTGAGTGAATAAATGGCCAACTGGATGAAAGAATGAAGAAATGGCAGACTGCATGACTGGCTAGCTGACTGGCTGAATGAATGAATGCCTATATGATTGATTGAATGGCTGGCTGACTGAATGACTGATTGACTGGATGACTAACTAGCTGGATGACTGACTTGCTGGATGAATAATGGGTTGGCTGGCTGACTGACAGGGCTTCATCTTAAAAATGACTGACCAAGTTCTTTCTCAGCCTTTTTTCAAGCATTATTTCAGAAGCAGTCATTATGTTTGTTTTTCTCTTCACAGGGTTTCCCAGGATTTCCTGGAATGTTGGGGCAGAAAGTAAGTACTCAGAAGTAGTAAAAATAGGCTTCAGTAACAAGTTAGATCCTCCAAGCACAGCAAAAAGAGGTCTGCCTTTCATCCATCAAGCACGATAAGTGGATTTCTTTGTGGAAGGTTCTTGTTTGAAAGGGGAGCAAGTTGCCAAATGTATTGGTAAGACCTCTGTCCGACTCAGAGGAGGAAGGGACACCCCACTTGATAAGAGGGAGGCCTTCTCTGTGTCTCCTGTCTGTCAGAGGGCTATCAGACTGTTCAAAAGCAGAAAGCTTTGTGCTCCGGGACTCAGATTGGAGCTGCAGCGGCCAGGGGCCCTGATGAAGGTTCAAGGCCAGTTCTGTCGGCACCCAGCTCAGCACTCCTTCAGGAGGGTACAGGCACTACCAGAGGAATGCAGAGCTATTTTAGCAGGTGACAGCTAAAATGTGTTTATTTGACAGTTAAATGTATTATTTATTTAAGTACTTAGAAGGATTTCAGAGATATCTTGCTAGGACAAGGCTTAATAAAAAGGAGTTTATTTGGTTGACTTAAAGAAAAAGTAGTCATTGAATTACCGAGTGGTGTCAGATATACTAAAAATTGTGAAAGTGGCCACTGACTGACATTTTTTTTTAACTTTTATTTGAGGTTAGGGTCTGGGGAAGAGAACTCAGGCGTGAAGGTGAGGGGAGCGTCAGACAATAAAGAGAAAGGGTGCTTGAACAACCAGTTAGGACAATCACAACTGCAATGGTGGGTCCTCATGTTGTTAAGGCATTAAGATTTGAAACCTATTTTTCTCTAAGCCTCAGGGCATGATATTCTTCCAACAGGCAAGTGGGATGCTTTCTTAGAATTCTAAATTGTTTCCAAGTTCACCTTAAAATTTTATTTTCCATGCTTGAAAGAACAAGTTTTATCTTTCTCCCATTGGTAGATTATATTTAAATAATTTCAATCATCTGAAATTATTATCATTTGTCACTGCCCAAAGCTATCAAAAGCTCTGTTTCTGCTACCTACATAGAGTGCTTCATATAAGCAAATGAAAGGGAACGTTACAGAGAAAAACAATTTTATTTTAAAATAGTCTAGGTTTTCATTCTGTGTATCAGAGAGCAATACATTCCTGTAAAATTAAATATGACAGCTTCTCTGCTCTCTGTTCCATTTGCTAGACTTTCCATAGAAAGTTCTCCCTCCCTCCCATGCAGCCTGTTTAAGACAGAGGTAATGTGATGATCATAATTAGGTCTTCAGAGAGAAATTAGATCAAGATATTACTGGCTGCTTCCAACTGGTGAGGAGAAGGACCACACTTCCTTCAGACAATCTTTTCCAAAAAATTATGCTGTTTATGCTACTGTTTTCTCCCAGACAAGCAAGGCATCTCTCAGCCTCCTCTAAACAGCCAAGGAAAATTGTGCAAACATCTACATAGTCGCAGAGAATCCACTATCCAAGCAGGCTGAAGAGCATGACGGATGGGAAAGAAATCATAGGTTTAAGGACAGTTCTTGGTGAGGCAGGATGTTGGTAGCTTGACAAATTCATTACACTGGCTGAACCAGCAGGTAATTTCAGAGCTCTATGCTTGATCCTCACTGTGAATTGGTCTTCCCTGGAATTTTCCATTGTGTTGTACACAATGGCACCCCTAGGAGAAGTAGTCTGGGTGTTATTCATTGTCTAAGTGGTTAGGGAAGCTCTTCACAGGCACTGGCCACTGCCTGGTAGAAATTCTCATGGCTCCTGCTGCGAAACTTAGTTTGTGTGGTGCTTTCTGGGGTGTCCAGGGGTTCCTGGGGGTAGGAAGGCTGCCCTGTGGGTTCATGAGCCAAAGAAGCCACAGGTGGGCCCAGAATCCTAGAAGAACACAGGGAAGAAGGGGATGGTCTGAGATGCAGAGACCAGTTTTACAAAAGGCTGACCTTAAACTCTCGAATTCTGCAGTTGGTGCATTTGCTTTTTAACTGGGAATATGGCTTATGTTCGGGAGGAGGGAACAGATACCCACTCCACTATTCTTGCCTGGAGAACCATGGACAGAGGAGCCTGGTAGGCTACAGTCCATGGGGTCACACAGAGTTGGACGTGACTGACGCGACTTCGCACACACACATGGCTTACGTTGCTTTCCATGCAGTTTATAATAATTTTATTAGGAATTTGAACACGTGTCTGGAACATCTGTCCCACAAAGTGTTTCTCTCTGAATCAAATGGAAGTGAGGTGGAACCAGTTTTTTGCTGAAGAATAGGAATGTGTATTGGAAAAGGCAATGGCTCAGTTCAGTTCAGTCTCTCAGTTGTGTCCGACTCTGCAACCCCATGGACTGCAGCACGCCAAACCTCCCTGTCCATCACCAACTCCCAGAGTTTACCCAAACTCGTGTCCATTGAGTTGGTGACGCCATCCAACCACCTCATCCTCTGTCATCCCCTTCTCCTCCCACCTTCAATCTTTCCCAGCATCAGGGTCTTTTCAAATGAGTCAGCTCTTTGCATCCGGTGGCCAAAGTATTGAAGTGGGAGTTAGGGTCAGGGGCTACCCATTCAGTATTCTTGCCTGGAGAATCCCATGTAGAGAGGAGCCTGGTGGGCTACAGTCCATGTGGTCACAACGAGTCATACACGACTGAGCAACTAAGACGCATGCACAGGGATGCATCTAACATGGAAGAAGCTTCCCAAAGATGGCAGTTGCCAAAACTATGTCCGATTATTCAAAAACCCCAGAGATTTGGATTTATGCTAAAAACACAACATAAAATTTCAACTAAGAAAGAAAGCATTTCCCCTGACAGTGTCCCAGGCACAGACATAGGGGACTAAAACACGGGCACCTCCCACCCTGGCCGCTCGGACTGGGGATTTGGGAACCAAACCGTGCGCTGCCCAGCCTCCGTGTCTCTCAGATGATAACCCCACCCAGGGTAACCTGCTCCTTCCCCTCCTCTTCCCTGAAGAATCTCTTTCCCTGTCTCATGACCCTATCGCCCCCCCAGCCTCCTGAAGCGGCCTGCCCAGAAGAAAATGACGGTGGTGACGGCCCGCACAGGGGGCGGATCAACCTGGAGCCTCGAGCCTCACCCCTCTCCTGCTTCTCTTTCTTCTTTCCAGGGAGAAATGGGGCCGAAGGGCGAGCCTGGGCTTGCTGGCCACCGGGGACCCACAGGCAGACCAGGGAAACGAGGCAAGCAGGTATGGATCCCAGGGCTAGCCAGATCTGGGGTGCGGGGCAGCGTGGGTCAGGGACCCTCTGGGCACACAATCTGGTCTCCAGCATCCTCTGGGCTGGAGGGCAGGGCACCTGGGCTCCCTAGGGGAGCCGAGTTTGAGGGGGATGGGGTAGAATGCTCATCTAGCTGTGTCCAATGCTGAAGCCAGGAGTGGGTCTTCAGTTCACAGGAACAGGTCTGTCTCCACCAAGACCACGGACCCCACGAAAACCTGCTTTTTGCCTCAGTGTCCCAGACACAGATGGACCTCTGGAACCAGCCCAGATATTTCTGGGCCGTTCAAGGGTCTTCTAGGTCTCAAAAGCAGGGTGTTTTCTCCTCCCTCAGGATCCCCATTTGTAAATGACCCTCTTTATTGGCACTATTCAGGGCCTAGGGAAAGTTTTCCTTCCCCGTGTCAGCAGGCTCTTGGGTCAAAACCATGTGATGTAAGCTGTCCCCAGGGCCTCAGAGCACCTCACCCCTTTGAGTGAGTCACATGTCCCTTACTCTTTCGGTTGCCACTCTGTTGGCCTTTTATCTCCTCTTCCATTATACATGTAATATATGAGCATCATGAAAAATGGAAAGAAAGTTGAAAAAACTAGGAAGGAAATCATCTAAACACGTAATGTCCAGGCATAACCCTGTTACCACGTTGGTGGTCTTCCTTCCAATGTTATTGCTTCTGTGGACTCTCTAGCCATTTGTTCCTTTTATGACCAATGTACATTTATATCTATCCTAAATTTTAATTAAAAATCACAACATATGCGCTTTCACTTGTTACTTCATTCATTAAGTGTTTTAAAACATTCTTTTTAAAATCTCTGCCTCAGATTTTAGTAAATGAGGGACCAGAAGAATGCTTGGACAAGAGAGGCCTAACTGGATTATAGATAATGCTAAGGAGTGAACACGTGTGGGCACGTTCCTGTTCTTTCCTTGGTTAGATCCATGGTTCTCAGACTCTAGCTTACATGGGAATCACCTGAGGGCTGATTCAATACAGATGCCCTGCCCTGGGTGCAGTGGTGGTGTTCCAAGTGTGTCTCTCCTCTTTCCTGCCAAGCCCTTACTTCCCAAAGACTCTGATATAAACCTTCAGGGTGGGTTGTTGCTTCTAAAGCTCCATGTGAGTCTCACGTGTGCCAGAACTCAGAACCACAGTAACACTAAGAAGCCAGTTCTGGATTTAGGAATGACATAGACTCTGACCTGATGAATCAGCTTCCACGATGACTTTTATTTGTTTTGGTTGCGCTGGGTCTCTGTTGCTGGGTGCAGGCTCTCTCCAGCTGTGGTGAGCCAGGGACACTGTCTGTTAAGGTGTGTGCAGGCTTCTCATGCTAGTGGTTTCTCCTGCTGCAGAGCTTTAGGCGCGCAGGCTTCACTAGTTTTGGTGCATGGGCTCAGAAGCTGTGGCACATGAGCTTGCTTGTCTGGTGGCATAGGGGATCTTTCTGAACCAGACATCACACTTGTGTCCCCTGAGTACCACCGAGCCACCAGGGAAGCCCATCCATGGTGACTCTTGAAGTCACAAAGTTTCAGTTCCATTTCTAAAGCTTTACCATGGGCATCATGGCCATGAGGCCACAGATGACAGTTTCCTAAAAACGAGGCTCAGAAAAAGAAAGAAAAGGGAAAAATCCTTTTTATAAAGAAAGCATTTCCCCCTCTATGGCTGTGTTTATCCAGAATGTGCTATGCTTGGGATTCGAGAAGCCGCTTGGCTTCCATCATCTGCATCTTTCCTTGGACAGTGTTTGTCTGGTCCTGGTCAGGGCAGAAGCCAAGAAGTCTATTTTTTGACCCTGTTGAGGATGACTGTGTTGGAGCCATCTTAAAGATGACACCAGAACCACATCTTGGAGCTCAGTTAGGAATATGGACTCATCTTCCTTCAAGACTTTATAGACGCCTGAGTGTGCTCCAGCCCCAGCCTGCCTGGTTGGCCTTGGGGGCTGGATGTGATGCTTTTGTGAATTAATTGCCTAATAGAGTCTAATAGGGTGTTTGTTGAGCCACAGTGCTAAGAGTCTCTGGAGGTTAAACAACCCAGATCCTGGAATCAGAAATCCAGAAGTGGCTCCAAGAGTTAAGAAATTCAGATCCAGAAGAACTGAAGAGCCCACCAACCCAATTCCCTTGCATGTAGTCACCTAGAAACCAGGGGCCAGGGAAGCGGCATGACCACCCAGGACCCCCCAGCCAAGCCAGCTCCCCAGCAGGGACAGAAGCTGGAGACCTGAGACCAGTCTCCGCACTGCATATCTTCTCCTCAGCCTCCTGCTTCCAAGCTGGCCTTGGGCAGACCCGGAAAAACCACATGAGTGTATCACACACATCTTCCTTCCCAGAGACACAGCGGCTTCCTGGATGGGAATCCCCAGATTTTGTGCAACAAAGGGATGAGGAGCGTTTTCCTGGAAAGCAGTGCTCAGTGAGTTCTGCTCACAGAGGCAAGGCCGATCCGAGCAGATGACCGACAAGCAGGACATTCTGTTACCGCCGAGGTCAGGACGAGGAGCGTTTCCAGCTTCTTCGAGCTGTGTCACTTCCTCCGCTCAGAGCCAGCCGAGGTGGCTGTTAGATAAATGAGCTTCGCTGCGGCTATATTAAGACGGTGTGACTTCCTGTGCCATCTGCAAGGGGAACCTGTCTCGGTGGCCTCGCAGATTGCTAAGGCTCGGGCAAGGCTTAAGACTTCCTCCCTTAGGATGGAGTTGGGGACAAACTCTGACCTCGCCATCCCACATGAAGGATTTGAGAACTCCTTGCACACTGCCGAGAGAGCCCCCAGGGCCACGTGGGCAAGGTGGCAGGTCACACGTCCCATGGTGGTTGAAAGGCGTGCTCGGCTGGCCTGCCCCCCAGGCTTGGGAAGATTTACATTTCAGCAGGTGAGCGAGGCAGCCCAGGCACACCTGTGTGAAGGGGACCCATCCAAAGCTGCTGGGCTCCAGGCACCGTCATGATCGGGGCCCAGTTAGCCAGTGGCTCAGGGGAGGCTCTGCAGGTGTGCCAGCCTTGGTTTCTGGAGGTCATTCCTGGGGGTCTCCCGGGGGAGATGTGTGCATTTAACCCTCCAAGAGCAGATGGCAAAGGGGACATCCCACGTGGAAAGACACAGGTACACGTCTCTTTACAAATCAGGACTTTTCTGACCGTGGGGCAAAGATGAAACCAAGCCAGCCACTCTGATAATCAGCTTGGCCCACGAAGCCTTTTGTTCTGTGCAAACCACGTTTTCATCTATGAGATCTTTGCTAGCCTCGTGACAAGCCTGTGCAGATGTATATTGCCTGGCTGCCTTTCACAGACGAGAAAACTAGGGCACAGAGCAACGCCCTGAGTTACGCAGGGCCTCATGGACCAGATGAAAAGCCAGATTTCCTGACCTAGAGCCAACAAACCACATCCACTCTCTGTGGTCAGCTTCTCCTCCTCCCCAACTTGATCTGGGGAAAGGAGGTGAGCAAGACAGATTCCAGCCTGCGGGGAGCTTCTGTCTCCTGGAGGGACATGGATGAAATGACCACAGGCCAACGGTAGCTCCGATCAGGGGTGAAGGCCGTGAAGGCAAAGGGCCTGTGCCGGGGAGAACTGACTGGGTCAGGAGAGGTCGGGGAAGGCTTTGCCACAGTAGTGTTTTCACTGGGAGTGGAAGGATAGGAGGGAGTTATCGAGGCAGAAGGGAGGGGAGAGCAGTTTGGGGCAGAGAGGAGTCTTGAGAAGCAAAATAAAAGGCATGTGCTCCTGAAGACCAACAACGTCAAAAGGCTGGGACGAGCCTGGAAAGTCCAGCTGTGCAGGGCTGGGAAGGCTGAAGGAAGGGGCTGTGTCTTCATCCTGAAAGCATCAGAGGCCACAGGGTGGGAAGAGCTCTTGTGCTGAAACAGAAATGGTCTGATCGGAAAGCACCTGCTCTTTCCGCACCTGCCAGGGACGGGGGTGGGTTGGATCCTTCCCATTTGCTTTCACATGCTATGTGTCTAGGACAGAGCAAGAAGTGATGCCTGCATAAAGTGAAATTAGGGTTGCCAGAGGGAGATGGATGGGAGAGGAGCAGATTAACACATCCACCCTATTACACATAAACTAGATAAGCAACAAGGATGTACTGTATAGCACATGGAACTCTACTCAATATTCTATGATGGCCTATAATAGAATATAATTTTTTTTAAAAAGCCATTGAATCACTATGATGTACCATGGAAAGTGACACAATACTGTAAATCAACTATACCCCAATATAAAAAATATGGGTCTCTATAAACTTGCATCCAGCACTGTCTCAAATGTTGCTTGCCCTGAGCTTTTTATGAGCTTGGTGACCTCTGGGACTGCATTCCTGCTCCAGCACTTGCTCCAAAGTACAAGCTGGTTGCCAGTGGAGAGCTGACTGGGGAAGAAAGTCTTCAATGTCCTGCTCTCATAACGGGCTCTGTCTTTTTCTCCATCAGGGGCAGAAAGGAGATAGTGGCATCACAGGCCCCCCAGGCAAACCTGGGCCTTCTGGTCAACCTGGCCGTCCGGGTCCCCCAGGCCCCCCGGGTCCTCCCTCTGCAGGTAAGAACTTCACTGCTCCACTTGGTCCATGGTGTCAGCCTCCCAGAGGGAGTTCAGCAGAGGTCGGACTTGAAATGCCTGCAGCAACTCAATACACTTCTAATTCATCCACAGTTTGGCTTATTCGAGTTTTACACAAGGGAAGTAGACACTATTATGGTTTTGATTTAGCATTTTGGAGACCAAATAGAGGAGAGAAAAAGAAAAAAAAAATCACATTGGTGATGTCATGGATACATGAGGTGAAAAATAACCAGCTAGTACTTCAACAGCGAACACCTCTTTATAGAAAAACATTTCATGGCTCCAAGTAATTCGGAGTAAAGATGACACTGCAAATTTTTCTTTCTTATACAGTGTTATGAAAGAGTCCATACAGATTTGCATCGACTATGGAAAGAGTTTATTACAAAGAAATGCAAGTCTCCCTTGAAGAGGCCATGGGTACACTGTCACCTTGTTTTACTTTCATTTGAGGAGCTAAGCCTTTTATTTGGTTTATTAGAAAGGAAGGCCTTTCACAACACATCCTCTATGTTAACACAGCATCTCTTGGTGCTGTGTTTATGTAGATGAATACTGTCTACTGACCGTGCAAGATCCATTGTTTTCAGTTGTGCAAAAGGAACCAAAATTTTTATTCTAATTCTTTTCTTAAGAAAATGAAAGCATTTAAAGATTCCAAAGTGCACTTTCCCCCACTGTGTTTATGGGTAAATATTTACAACCACATCGTGGGACGGCCAAGAAATATCATTCTGTTAGATCCTTGAAACAAATGAAAACCGGCCCTGAGACTGCAACCGGATGCTGGGAAAAATTCAATCTTGCACGTTAATGGGGTTCCCTCCACCTCTTCAACTGTCACAGAACAGTGGGGCAGAGATCCTGGGGAATTATGGTGAAAGGACATCATAGGAGGTCCCTCCGGCCCTTGACCGGCCCCATTCACCTCTGAAACCAGTTGCCCGAGGCCATGTGGTCACAGGGGTGACCACCATCCTCATAGCAGGCTTGGGTGTCAGATCATCTCCAAACCTGGGAATCCTGGGCTTCAAAGGTCAGGAGCACCCCACAACCGCTCCTCCTGAGATTTGCAGTCTCCACGTCTCCAGGCTTTGGGGTCCCTGTCCTCCCACGTCTGGGGTGATCTCTCCTCTTCTGACCTCCAGCCCCTCCCCCCTCCCGCTCCTCATACAGCACTGCCCCTCTTGAGAACAGAAGGCAAACGTCTTCTAATATGACCTGTTTCTCAGCAAGGGCAAGAAAGCACGGTCTTGCCGCCCCCTTGAAATCGGGAAGGAAAAAGTAATGGAAGGACAAGCATCAGTCACTACAACATCCTGCCGCACCCCTTTCTGTCTGTTAGGATCTGGCCCGAGCAGTAGCTTGGCCCCGTGTCCCTGCCCACACTGTCTCCCTGAGACAACTGGATGATCCAGATGAAAGTTCTTTGGGTCAGTCCTCTTCCTCCTTGGTTCTGAGGCAGGACGTTTCCCTCAAGCCCACGACCCTGGGCTGCCAACCCCAGAGACTGACAGCACTGTCTGAAGCCTGGGTTTTGCCTCTGGAAGGGATGTTTTTAGCCCCTGGTGTATTTCAGTTCAGTTTCAGTTCAGTCGCTCAGTCGTGTCTGACTCTTTGCGACCCCATGAACCACAGCTCGCCAAGCCTCCCTGTCCATCGACAACTCCCGGAGTTTACTCAAACTCATGTCCATTGAGTCGGTGATTCCATCCAACCATCTCATCCTGTCGGCCCCTTCTCCTCCTGCCTTCAATCTTTCCCAGCATCTGAGTCTTTTCCAGTGAGTCAGTTCTTTGCATCATGTGGCCAAAGTATTGGAGTTTGAGCTTCAGCATCAGTCCTTCCAATGAATATTCAGGACTGATTTCCTTTAGGATGGACTGGTTGGATCTCCTTGCAGCCCAAGGGACTCTCAAGAGTCTTCTCCAACACCACAGTTCAAAAGCATCAATTCTTTAGNTATTCCCATCTCTTTCAGAATTTTCCACAGTTTATTGTGATCCACACAGTCAAAGTCTTTGGCATAGTCAATAAAGCAGAAGTAGATGTTTTTCTGGAACTCTCTTGCTTTTTCAATGATCCAGCGGATGTTGGCAATTTGATCTCTGGTTCCTCTCCCTTCTCTAAAACCAGTCTGAACATCTGGAAGTTCACGGTTCAATATTGCTGAAGCCTGGCTTGGAGAATTTTGAGCGTTACTTTACTAGTGTGTGAGATGAGTGCAAGTGTGCGGTAATTTGAGCCCATTTTGGCATTGCCTTGCTTTGGGATTGGAATGAAAACTGACCTTTTCCAGTCCTGTGGCCACTGCTGAGTTTACAAATTTGCTGGCATATGGAGTGCAGTACTTTCACAGCATCATCGTTTAGGATCTGAAATAGTTCAACTGGAATTCCATCACCTCCACTAGCTTTGTTCATAGTGGATGCTTCCTAAGGCCCACTTCACTTCACATTCCAGGATGTCTGGCTCTAGGTGACTGATCACACCATCGCGATTATCTGGGTCGTGAAGATCTTTTTTGTACCGTTCTTCTGTGTATTCTTGCCACCTCTTCTTTTTGGGATATTTAAGGGCTCACAAAACTAAGGAATAGCCAGGGAGCCTGTGGTTGGGTGGCATCCTCCTGAAATGAAGACTTCAGTGGTCCCACGGTGTATCCGACTTGAATCCCGGTTCCCCCCTCAAGCGTGGGGTGGGGTGGGAAGGGCAGGGCTTGGCTGCCGGCTGGATTGTCTTGCAGCCTCTGGGGGACTGCAGCCCCTCCCTGTCGCAGGGCCAGTGTAGCCTGTATTGTCTCCTTGGTTCTCCAGCACCTTCTCCTTCAGCCGGCTATGCCGTTGTCCCGATCCTGGCCCCCTCCCCCTCACCACCCTCTGTCCTCCAGAGGACTCCGCTCGTGGTTGAGCTGGAGCATATTCCTACAGTCCTTCTGGTTCACCTGGCCTGACACAGCGTTCCTGTCAGCCCCGGGACCACCCCACCACCTCCTCTCCTTCCTCCCGAGCTCTCTCTTCTGTGCCCTTCCTGGTTCCTGATGGGACGTCTCCTTCCCTCAGGCCGCGGTCCCCGCTGCATCTGCGACAGTCCCTTGCTGGGGACTGCTTCCTACAGGTGTGTCTCTTCTTCTTCCTGGTGGCAGGTCCTTGAGGCAGGGTCCTGGCTGAGTCAGCTTTGTACCCCGTTTGCACCCACCTGTAGGTGCTCACACACCTGGGCCCCTTTAGCTCAGGCTGCCCCCCCGGCCCGATCATTGCACAGCAGCCAAGCAGGATGCAGGGGGGCTGTTTGACTGATGTGCCTTCCCTGTGCCTTCCTTTGGGTCACTTCCCCTCTGTGGAGCCTCCCAGAGTGAGGGGACTGAAGAAAATGGGGCAAGAATCCTGCTCTTTGGAAATGTTTCTTTTTGGGGGGCGGGGGGGGGTGGGGACAGTAGGAGAGGGAGGCGTTTAGAAGAGACCTTCCCTGTGCCCAGGACCAGTTAGATCATCATCAGGAGTTGGAACAGGCCTCCAAACTGATTTCTGAGACTACCTGTGACAGCCTGGTGAAGTTCCACTCTTGGGAAAAAAACATGTGTCTACCTACACCCAGAGCTCCAGACGCCTTGTCCCAAATCCATCTTGGGATATTCTCAGGCTCTGTGGGCCCTGGGTTAACCTCCCCTGGTCTGATCCCACCCTCCCTTTGTAGATGAGAACTTCGAGCCTCAGAGATCCCCCAAGGTCACCGAGCAGGCTGGTGGCCACTCCTGTCCAAAACCCGCCTGTGACGCCCAGTCCCCAGACCCTCCCATGCAGCCACACAGCCGCTCCAGGGACCAAGCAGGGTGGGGGTGATGGGACGGCTCAGGACTCCTCTACTTTCTCCCAGATTCCCCTTCAAGACTTGCTCCCATCGCAGCAGCAGCCGGTGGGGATGGGAGGTCCCTTAGGCAGCGAGGCAGAGCTGGTCCTCTGGCTGCTAGGAGATGGAGAGACTGCTCGCTGAACACGCTCCGAGAGGCTGAGGCTGGGGAGTTCAGGCGGCTATGCCCTTCGGGGCAGCCTGGCAGGAATCGGGCAGATGTAACAGATGCCCCTGGACAGCTGGGAGGAAGCGGTAGGGGGAGGGGACAGGAAGCAGGCTTCCCGCCACGTCCTGTTGTCCTGTCTCGAGGCCACCTCTGTTGCTGTTGACCAGTGCTGGGGGGTGGGGGGATGGCCAGGACGGTGCTGGGGAGTGGGAGGAGGCAGGAGCTTGTCACGACCCAAGGTAACCAAGAGAGAGGGGCTGGGGGCCGGAGGAGGGAACGGCAGCAAAAGGCCTTGAAAGTGTAATTTGCAATAACCAAATGACGAGTTTGGCGGAGTCCTTCCTGCCCCCAGACAGGGCATAAGCAAATCAATGTGCTACCTGGGAGCTGCCAGCTTCCTGCACGCATCAGTAATTCTTGGACGTATGTCTTTGGAACAGCCTAGTGTCAGGTGGACATGAATTCAAATCTCAGCCTCACCACTGATTAGCTGCATTAACCGGACAGATGCCACGGTTCTGGAGGAAAAGCTGGGATCACACAGGCAGCTGGAAGGTGGCCCCCATCTTTGGGGGGACGCTCTCCCATCCTTGGCTACAGAGCACTCCCATCTCAGTTTCCCCAGGTGCAAACTCCCCAGAGCATTCCTGAGCGGGTGGAGTCTCTCTCTGAACAGGAGACTGGCATTCCACCCAGACTGCGTCTGTATTTCTGGTTAGGACGAGTGACCACAGCTTGGTGTAAGATGCTGGCAGGCCTCCCTTCCCTGAAGGCTGACAGCGTTCCGATCCGTCCACCGGCTCAGGACGTCTCGGGGGTGGGCGGCCCCACAGGGGTCTCCTCCTGCTCCTGAAACTGCCTCCGCGGGGCTCTGACCCAGACCTCTCCCCTGGGGTCATGCTCTCCGCACCCTCGTGGGATGTGCAGTCTGTGTCCCCAGCTGCTGACTGCCCTGGGCACAGCTGTCCGACCTGAAACCAACGACTGGCTCGTCTCCAAGCCCCTGCTTAATTTCCCAGAAGGAGGGGGTATTTACTTATTTTTGTTTTCAGTGCCCATCTTTTCCTGTTGGATTACCCTGGCTCTAGCATTTTTCTGCCAACTAAAGTGGGACCTCTAGTCTTTTCTGAAGAGCTTAGTTCATCTGGGTTCGTTCATCTGATCATCAAACATGCACTCTGTCCCCTGCTGGGTGCTACACCCTGGTGAATGAAGACAGGTGTCCACCTGCCCTCATGGAGGTGAGCATCCACTCCTCCAGGAGACGCAGCTGGCCAGATGATCTTACAGGGAACCGAATCACAGAGACAGGTGCCAGTAAGACAGGGCGTGGGGAACCTGTCCTCGGTGTGAGCAGGACGGAGCAGGAGGGTTCAGGAAGGCTTTCCTGAGGAAGTCATGTTCGAACCCAGATCAGGAGTGAGCGAGGAGGTGCTTGGTGAGGGAGGGATGGAGGCTGGAGAGGAGGACAGTCTGGAGGGGGTTTGTGCGAAGACCATTTCCCAAACCCAGAGGCTCGAAACCTCGGTGGTCACTGGAATCATCGCGAGAGCTTTGAAAAGCGCAGTTGCCTGAGTTGCCTTCTCAGGAGTCCTGATGGAACTGGTCTGGAGTGTGGCCTGGGCATCAGGGCCTTTACAAGTCCAGGTGAGAACTACCAACCCTAGCAGGTCTCCCACCTAGCAGGGAGTGAATTTCCCCATCATGTCTTTTTCAGACACTCAGAATCAGGGAAGAAAAAAATAGGCTGAGCATTTTCAAACATCCCATTTTCTTCTAGAAGAAATCAAAGAAACAAACCCACACTCAGTTTCCTTTGTAAAGTTCCTATATATAATAACAAAATAAAATGAATAAGAAAAAATGAAAGTTATCAGCTAGTAACATGCTCATCAATAAGTTGTTCTTAGGTGGTGCTAGTGGTAAAGAACCTACCTGTCAATGCAGGAGATGTAACAGGCAGGTTTGATCCCTGGGTGGAGAAGAGGAGGGCATGGCAACCCACTTCAGTAATCTTGGGCTGCCCAGGTGGCGCTAGTGGTAAAGAACCTACCTGCCAATGCAAGAGACTTAAGAGACGGAGGTTCAATCCCTGGGTGGGGAAAATCCCCTGGAGGAGGACATGGCAACCCACTTCAGTACTCTTGCCTGGAGAACTGCACGGACAGAGGAGCCTGGTGGGCTACAGTCCATGGGGTCACAAAGAGCCAGACATGACTGAAGAAACTTGGCACACAAACATAAAGGATTGTTTTCCTCCTACAGCAAAGAAGTCCGGGGCAGACAGTGGCTGGCTTTGGTTCAGCCTCCAGGTGTCACTCCCAGGGTCCCAGGCCCCACAAGGCCCTTGCCTTCCCTGTATGCTGGCTTGTTTTGCTTCAGGGCTGCAGCACAGCTGCTGTGGCACCGGCCATCTTGTCTGTCTTCCAAGCAAGAAGGAGGCAGCGATGTCCCCATCCAGCTCTGCTTCTCCCTCATCAGGACAGGCTTTCCCAGAAGCGCACCCTTCTTCCACCACAGACCTTGCACTGGCCAACACTGTGGCACATGGTCACCTCCAGGAGCAAGGGGGTCTGGGGAGCAGAATGTCTAGTGTCTAAACTGTGGAGAGAGGGGAGGGTTGGCAAAGGTGCCGTGTTTAGGAGACCCACAGCTTGGACCAGAAGTGCCTCTCTGGACCTCCCCTCCAGGCCTCTCTGCAGCACTGTGGACCTCAGGCTTTTCTGTCGTGAAGCTTGTGGACGCCTCCCTGGGCTGTCTGCTTTTCTCTTCCTTTGCTCTGGTAACAGCGGTTTGTTGCTTTCTAGGACAACTTGTCATGGGACCCAAGGGGGAAAGAGGATTTCCTGGGCCCCCAGGAAGATGTCTTTGTGGACCTCCCATGAATGTGAATAACCCTTCCTATGGGGAGTCTGTGTATGGGCCCAGCTCCCCACGAGTTCCTGTGGTAAGGCTCTTCTGGGAGGAAGCGGGGGTGCTCACCCCTCAGGACATGATTGATGACCCCCTGGGGTTTGTAAAAACCTTTTAAGTAAAATTTATTTCCCCGTAACACTGGGCACAAACTTGTTACAGGAAACTGGAAAAAAAGGGGAAAATCCAAAGAAGAAAACCTAGATATCGTTGTGGGTCCACTGTGGAGCATTTTCTGTGTCTTTTTTGTTTGGCCATGCCATTCGGCGTACAGGATTTTAGTTCCCTGACCAGGGATTGAACCTGGGCTCCGACGGTGAAAGCACTGAGTCCTAACCGCTAGACTGTCTTTTTTAAAGAAACACATTGTGGAACATTGAGAGTAAATACAAAAGCAGAACAAACAGTGTAAGGAACCCTCATGTCCTCTTTACCCAAGTTCAACAATGATCAAGTCTCAGCTCATCTCCTTTCTTCTTTATATTTAATGTATGACAGCCCACCCTCCTTTGGATTACTTTGAAGTAAACCCTGGACATAAATTCATTATTCAAATGGATACACAATAATCCATGCATCAGGTGGCTGTGCTATGATTTATTTAACCAGAGCCCTATTTTCAGAAACGGATCAAGTGCTCCAAGCTTTTCCCTGATATAATTAGCATTGTAATAAATGCCTTTGAGTGTAAGAATTTTAAGAGTCATTTCCAGATGTTGAAAGACTTGATTAGATGATATCACCTTTTTTATTGAAGTCTTTGTAATACTTCAAAGGTTTAAAAATCTTAAACCTTGGTAGATATTTTTATTCCAAAATCAGACATTCCAAATTGGGTTGGGAGGCTGTGGGAATCATTAGCCCTCACTTCAGGAGGCACGCGGGAGCACAAATGCCAGCCCTCTTCACTGACCACCAGCCCCCCGACAGGGCCTGTTTCCTCCTCTGGCTCTTTAAGCCCTGCTCCCCAGGCAAGTGTTTTCTGGGACCCTCACCAGTGTGTTCTCCGGCAGATCTTTGTGGTCAACAACCAGGAGGAACTGGAGAGGCTGAACACCCAGAACGCCATCGCCTTCCGCAGAGACCAGAGGTCCCTGTACTTCAAGGACAGCCTTGGCTGGCTCCCCGTCCAGGTACCCAAGGCGCTCCGCAGAGGGACGCACCTGCGAAGGAAGGGGAGGCCGGGCGCAGAGCTTTCTGTGGAGGGTTAAGCGGCCCCCTCACCCGGCCTCTGAGAGCTCTCTGGGCCCCGGGCCCCTGCCTGCAGCCTCCGCTCTGGGTCCAGGCTCCAGATGGGGCTCCCCGGGGCCCAGCCTCCCTGCCGACTGCAGAGCTCTGGCTCCAGAACAGAAGCACCCTGTCTCCACCACCCTGTGCCCACCCGGCTCCTCTGTCCCCGGCGTCCCGGGCTGCCTGGCACGCCATCCCTGGTAACTGCGCTGTGTTTCTCCGGCCAGCTGACACCCGTCCACCCCCGGGACTACCCTGGAGACCACCGCGGCTCCTGCGGGGACGGAGTCCTGCAGCTGGGGGAGGAGTGTGACGATGGGAACACAGACGCCGGTGATGACTGCATCCGTGAGTGGGGCCCGGCCCCAGGGAACCAGCAAGCCCCACCGCGGGGTGGGGGTCAGGCCGCGCTGCTTTTGGACAGTTCCTAGAGCCAGCACTGGGCTGCTAGAGGGGATGACAGTCCTCGCTCAGGCCAGATGTAAACCCTCCCACCTTCCGAGGATGGTGATGGGGCTGCCGTCAAGGGTTCGGGCCCCGGAGAAGCCACGGGGCCCTCCCTTTTCTCCTGAATCCTACTTCTTGGCAAAACCTACACCCTCATCGAAAGGGAAAGGTGGTGCAGGAGGACTGAGAGGCCGATGGGAGAAGCCGAGGCTCTGAATCGGGCTCGCTCTCAGCAGACAGAGTCCTCGGAGCTGAGCGCTAGGGGACGGGGCGGCCAAGTGGCCCTCAGGCTCATGGACGTGACGGGACAGGCAGACGTCCTAGCACCAGAGCGTCCCTTTTCCCTCTTCTTTTAAAAGTCAAGGGATGAAAGCAGGAGGTGAGGTGGGCAGCATGAGCTTCAGAGTCAGGTGGAGTTCGGAGGCGGTGCTCAGAGCCACCGAGTCACCCCGTCTCAGAAGGGCGGCTACGGGGTGAGTGGGGTGACCAAGGGCGTCCCTGAAAACTAGGTGTGATGGGTATGGACGGCAGAAGCCTTGAGATCCCGTGAGCCAACATCACGAGGATGGTCTGGGTGCCGTCGGGGCCAGACGCCCCTTCCCTGCAAGGCTTCTCAGGCCCTGCGGGGAGGAGCCGGGCTCCGGGTCAGGGCTGGGGACGCGTGGGTGCCCAGCGCGGGTCCCTCACCAGCCAGGAGCTCGGCGGCTGAAGCGGCTGCTTCTCCCGGGAAGCTGCTCTTTCCCTGACGGTTCCGGGCCCCGATTCCTGAGAGGCCGGCTCTGCCCGCAGGCCCCCGGCCCCTCGTGTAGGTGACACAGCAGGAAGGACTGCCTAAGGGCCCCAAGGCCCTATTGGCTCAGAGAGTAAAGCGTCTGCCTGCAATGTGGGAGACCCGGGTTCCACCCCTGGGCTGGGAAGATTCCCCTGGAGGAGGAAGTGGCAACCCACTCCAGGACTTTTGTCTGGGAAATCCCACGGACGGAGGAGCCTGGTGGGCTACAGTTCACCGGATCGCAAAGAGCCAGACACGACTGAGCGATTGCAGTTTAGTTTTTCCAGCAGGCCCCCTGTAAAGACGGGGGTTCATACTCCCGGCCCCTCCCCTCGGGCGAGAACAGAGCTGGTGGAAGACGGTCTGGCTCCCAGGGGGACACAGGGTCGCCTGGAGGCTCCCGGCAGACACCAGAGCGCCTCCTGCCCCAGGCCGTCACTGAGCCCGGGGCTGCGATCTCCCGACCCTTGCCGTGCAGGAACCGGCAGTAGTCCCACGACGGGGGTGGGGGGACATTGTCCAGGCCCCAGGCTGGGACAAGGACACCGAGGCCGGGGTGGGCTCTCGGCTGACGCACAGTGGGCCTAGACCGGGCCCAGCGCCCACCTTCCATGGGCTTGGGGTCTGGACCCTTGTGGAAGGCCGCGTGAGAGAGGAGGGTCCGTCCGGTCACGCGGTCCTGCCGGGCCGTCCCCTCCCCTCCCCTCAGGGCTGTGTCCCCGCAGGCTGCCGCCGGGCCTACTGCGGAGACGGCCACCGGCACCGGGGCGTGGAGGACTGCGACGGCGCGGACTTCGGCCACCTGACCTGCGAGACCTATCTCCCCGGGTAGGACCACCTCGCGGGCTTGACCGCTCCGGGGCTCCCCGCTTTCCTTCACAAATACGTTCCTGAGCAGCTCTGTGTGCCCGGGCCTTTGTGGACACCGGGGAACGGTGACGCACGACGCACGCAGCCCCGGCTCACGTCCCACGCAGCCTCGGCTCACGTCACGCAGCCCCCTCACGTCACGCAGGCCCAACTCACGTCACGCAGCCCCGGCTCACGTCGGGGGTCTGTGTCAGTGCAGCTGTGTGACCCAGCCCCACCTGGGTCCTGGGCAGGCGCGGGGCACCACCTCTGAGCCCCCCGTGGCTCGGGCTCAGCAGCTCTGTCCCCCGCTTCTCCCGGGACCGGCCTGGTCTCCTAAGGAGCAGGCCCGCCCGTGTAGCGGGGCCCAGGGGGTGGGCAGGCGGCCTTCGGGCACCGCAGAGGCCCCGCCAGCATTAGCACCTCACTTTGCTGACCTAGGCTCCTCCAAGAGAACCCCAGGAACGTAGCGTTCCTGCCAGCACCGCGGCAGTTGAGTCTGAGGCCCCCTCGGTGGGTGTCCGTGTGGCTCAGGATAAGCATGCCGGTGTCCTGGCCTCCACGAGGACATCTCCCGCGCCCAGGGGAGGCCTCTGTCCCGCGAGGGGAGTCTCCTGAGCTGTTCAAGCAGAATGGCGACCCCCACCCCAGACCTCACCGGACCAGGGCTGCGGGGCTTCTGGGAGAGCTGGGGAGGCGGCTGCTCCCCCAGGCCCCGGCCTGCCTCTCCCGTGACCCCAGAGTGGACGGCTGGGCCCTCAGGGATCCGCCTCTCCAGCCCTTATTCCCTCCAGCCGCCCTCCTGTGTGGGCTTGGACCCAGGCCCTGGGCAGGGCTGGGGAACAGACCCCAGGCCCGCCCCTCTCCTCTAAGGAGGAGGGTCTCCTGGTGCCCACCCCCAAATGCACACCAACAAATCCAACCAGGGGGAAGAGCTCAGGCTTGTCGTCACCCCATTCCAAGCACCGCAGGCTGGGCCAGGACCTGGCCCGCCTCTGTGTGCGTCGCCCTTCTCTTGCACGTCTGCGGTCACTGCCCTTCTCTGAAGTAGGGAGGCTCCTGCCTGGCCCAGCCAGAGAGTCGGTGGAGAGTCTGAGCTGGTTGATGGCCTGTGGAGACCCCTGAGCGTAGGTAATCAGACCTGGGGCACAGGGTGCTTGGAGCCCAGGACTTACCCTGGCTCTCTGCGGTTACTCTCTTAATCCCAAAGAAGCCATGCGGCATGCTTGCGAAAATAGGTGTGAGGTTAAGACAGTCTCAGAATTAGCACTGGGGCTTGTGTAGGTGCAGGCCATGCTCTGCAACTTGGTACGTGTAGGATTTAAACAGCTACACAGGTAAGCTATTTAAATCAAGTAAAGAATCCAATTCTTCAGTCCCACTAACTTTGTTTCAAGATCTGTGGCCAGTGGCCAGCCACACTAGACAGCTCAGAAATAGTACCGTGTGGTCTAAGGGCGGCGCTGGAGGAGAGGGCGGTTGTCTCCGAGGGGCTGCGTCCAGGGCAAGGCTACCCACCGAGCCTGTCCCCCCAGACTCCTCGGCTGTGCTCAAGGGAGAAAGCCCCAGAGGCCTGGACCCGGCTGCCCCGGCCCCTCACCTCCCTGGAGCCCCGGGCCCTTAGGCAGCTGGCCGGGGAGCAGCCGTTTGCCGAGGCTGCACCGGAGTCCCAGGACGTGGCTGTGTCCCGGGCTCCTGCCCACTGCCCTGTGTCCTCCCTCAGGTCGTACGGAGACCTGCGCTGCACCCGGTACTGCTTCATCGACTCCACGCCTTGCCGCTACTTCACCTGAACGCCCCCGGGAGGAGGCGGCGGCCCCCGCGGCGCCGGTAGCAGCTTTTCCGCCCTCGGCAGACTGACTGACCTCACCCCCATCCTGGTCCAGTGTCCACCGCCTTCGTGCCACAGAAAGAAGGACAAACTCTTGCTGCTAAGACAAGCTTGTAACGCGGTCCGACTGGAGGAACCGAGGACCCCCGCCCTGTCTTCGCCCCGGGCCTCCACCCTGCGCCCAGCGCGACCCTGCGGCCGAATGTAGATACGCAGGGCGCTTTGCCTTCCGCATGTCGCAGACTTGGCTCCGCACTGTTAGGCGAACACGGACTGTTGGCTCCCTTCCGCGGGGGGCGTCCAGGGAGCAGCCTCTCTGCCCCTCTGACCTCTGGAAACGCGGGCATCTCCCCGGCCGCTGGCGGGGGGCTCCCGGGGCCTGGGAACCACCGGGTGGGGAGACGGGCCTGTTCTCTGGAGGGGGCCCCAGATCTTGGCCCGCCGAGAGATCCCCCCTGAGCTGGCCACGGCCTCAAGCGGAGGCGGCTCCCCAGGCAAGCGCCCCAAATGTGAATAAGTACTGGGTCGGCGGCCCATCCGCGTTCTGCAGCAGCGCGGATGAGCGCAGCGCATCGGCCTTCTCGACGTTTCCGAAGGGGCGGCTCTCAGAGCTTCCATTCCGGGCGCCTTCCTGACCTCCCCTGGCTCTGCGCGCGCGGCCTCCGTCCTGTGAACGTCCCCGTGTCCATCCCTCCTTCAGGGATGCTAGCCGTCGGGCTTTCCCGTCCGGGCCGCGCCACCGACTTCGAGCTGTGGGCCGCGCCGGCGTCTGTCTGTCCCGGCGCCGCTCCGGGAGCCCTGGGACCTCCCTCCCGGTCTGCGTGGCGCGTGCGTTTGTCCTCGTGAGCGCGCGCCTGAGCCCGGTTTCTACAGGATCGCTAGTCCTGCGCGTACCTGAGCTGCCTTCCACCGTCGTTTCTCCTGAGTGGGGCTTAGCTATTGTTGGGAGACACATCTTCCCCACCGCAGACCTCATGGACCTGTTTGCTCCCAGATGGATGGACCCTCCCGCCGGTGTGTACAGACTGTTCAGCCTTCGCGCGTCCTGGGCGCTTGGCGTTGTGCTGCTGGCCTGTCGTGGGCGGGCTGGACCCCAGGGTGGTGTCCCCGGAGGTGGACGCGTTGGTCAGTCTGGGTCCTTCTGCCTCTATTGCAAGTTCTGAGCTGATTGATAGTCCATGGCCCACGTCTGTCCCCATGTGAAGCCACCGCCTTCATCCCGGCGTCTTCGGATGTGAAACCAAGAAATAAAAGGCCGTGTACTTCCCAGCTGTGGCTCTCTCTTCCCTGGGGGTTTGGGCTGCTGTCCTAGAACTCCTGGATTGAATGAGGGCTCTGAAATCAAGTCTGCTTCCCAGACTCCACAGAGGGTTCTAGAATGGGAAGCAGTTCTGCTCCCCCCCAAGGACAACCAATGTCCAAGAAAGGAAACTCATGTCCAAGGTCACCATGCCCAAGCCAGCCCAACCCAGGGCTTGCTTAGCCAGCCCTGCCCCCAGCCTGGTTTTCCCATCTCTGGTAGGAAAGAATGCAGGCCCAATACTGCCCTCGGAGCTGGCCAGGGCGGGCCACGTCCTGGGTCCCAGTCCTCGGAGGGCACTGTTCTGGCTTTCTTCTGGCTGTGAGCCTCCCAAAGCCGCGCTGACACTTGCACACCCCACGCTGCAGGTACCAGGACAGCCCGCTCCCCACCTGAGTGGTCCTGAGCCCCTTTCCAGGGCTGCATGGCCCTCTCTGCACGCCTGTCCTCCTGAGTGTGGCTTGCACACACCTGTCAGCGTGGGATGGGGGTGGGGGGGGTGGCCGGGGACAGGCTGTCTGCAGGGGTCATCGATGGAGCTGGGACATGCAGGCTAGGTCTCCACATGGGCACACATCCTGGGGTGAGACTGGCTGGGGTGAGGTTGGTGACTGCTCTCCTTGTGGGGCCATGGGAGACTGTGAGGAATCTTAACAGTTCTAGGTCTTTATGAAGTGGTATTCGTCGGGTAAGCAGAACCTACTTAACCTGTAAGTTTGTGCTGATCTTCATGTAGATACACCTTTTGTGTGGGAGCCTCCATCTACGCTCCAGATCCGGGACCGCACAGTATGGGGGGAGGGTCTGCCTCCAGCTCTGATATTTCTAGGGAGAGTTCTGAAAGGCTCAGGAGAGGATTCAAGGTCACAGGTGTTAAGACGATCTATCCGTAGAGTCGTCCTACCCCTTCAGGGCTCTGAAATGGGAAGATGAAAGCTCAGGGAAGGTGGGCCCTGGGCCCCTGTGAATGCCAGCTCCGCCGTGTTAGGGGACTGCTTCCCCAGGGGCAGGGGGCCCCCGGCCGCCGCAGGAACACCCCCCTGGGTCGTCTGCTGCTCGTGCGAGGAGCTGAACTGGGGCAGCGGGGCTGGGAGGGCGCTGAGCTGGGAGACCCCCGTGCCTGATTCACGCCTGGTCCATCACTTCCCACAGCCTCAGTTTCCTTCCCCGAGAGACGTGGGACAGAGGCTGACTTTCCCCTCCAGCTCCACCTGCTAATTTCTGGGGGTGGACTCTGCCCTCGGGTGTTTCAGGGCCAGTTCTCAGACGGGTGATGGATTTTAGCTACTCTCAGCTGTCAGGCGGAGGTGGTTGAGAATGGCAGGGCCTTCAGAATACGATCGCCAAAGGAGGCTGTGTCAGTCCAAATGCTTTTGCTGGCAAGTAGCAGAAAATCCAACTTTCGTATAAACCGTAGGGTAGAATTTATTGGCTCAGATCACCAATGCAAGTTCTGGGAGTGGATTGGAGATCAGGCAAGGTTCAGTCAAGGCTCCTGCTCCAACTCTTTGCTTGATCTGTCCTCTCAGCTCTTTGCACCTGTCCTGTCCATGCGAGCCTTAGGGTGGCCACAAGCTGACCGCTTCAGCTTCAGGCTGACATCTGCACCTTCCCAATGTCCACAGGAAGACAGAACGTCTATTCCAGTGGCTCTCAAGAACTTTGATTTTTTTTCCCCCAGGAGTCCCCGGAAAAACCTTGCCTTGAGTCTTGTTGACCTGAGTCTTGTTGACACGCCCATTCTTGAACCAATTCCTATTATCAGAAAAAAAAGCTGCCTGCTGATCAGATCATAGTTGGGTTCCTGAATGCAGGATGGCAAAGGTTTTAAGATTACCCTTAGCCCACACCCTGGGAATTCTCCAGAAGCACACAGGCTGTGCAGGGAGGGGGTGGCTGCTGGACTGGGTATTGGGGAGCGGGAATGGAGCTACTGAGGGCTGAGTACACAGGTCCATTACAGGGGCCATCTCTCCAGATTTGCTTTTCCTTTCAGCAGGAATGGGTGCTGAGCCACTTGGGGTGAACACTTGGCGGCACTCCCCTCCAGAAGACTCTGGCTTGGTTCTGATGGGTCTACTTGGAAAGGCTGGCTCTCTGAGGGTGAGGCTGGTCTTGAAAGATGTGGTGTAGCTCATGAAAAAACCCAGAGGACTTAGATGCACAAATCTGGATTTGAACCCTGGCACTGTCACCAACGCACTCTTTAACTATCCTACTTAATTTGCCTAACGTCTCTGAGTCTCTGCTTTCTCATCTGAGTCTCAGTTCTCACCTGGGAATTGTTGTTTCGTTGCCAAGTCGTGTCCAGCTCTCTGTGGCTTCACGGGACTGTAGCCCGCCAGGCTCTTCTTCCTATGGGATTTCCAGGGGAAAAACCCTCCATCTCCTTCTCCAGGCGATCACCCTGACTCAGCTATTGAACCTGCATCTACTGAATTGCAAGCAGATTCTTTACCACTGAGCCACCTGGGAAGCCCACATACTGGGAATAATCGTACCTTATTCAGCATTGTGCTGCATTTCAGAGATGACATGCTTATACTTTTGGACATCTGGAAACTGTTACGAACTTGTTGAAGTTCTTCTGTTATTATTGTTTAGTGACTTAGGCTGAATCAGTCCTCTCTTTGGGGACCCAAGTCATTCTTCCCTCTTTGATGCTGGTTATGAGCTCCTTTTTGACAGCAGTCTGGACCACAGCCTTTGCTGCAAAGCATTGAAAGAGCATGAATGCATGTTAGTCGCTCAGTCATGCCCGACTCTGCGGCCCCACGGACTGCAGCCCACCAGGCTCCTCTGTGCATGAGATTTTCCAGGCACGGATACGGGAGTGGGTTGCCATTTCCTTCTCCAGGGGATCTTCAGTGGTTCTCAAATTCTGCTGCACACAGCTTACCCAATAAACATCCCTGGGAGGGACCGGTAGAGCAACAAGGTTTACCCACTTGTTGTAGGAGATCAAACACCCCAGGAACAATGGGGCCTCTCATCAAATCAGGAAAAATAAGATAATGAGAGGATTGGGTTGGGGGCGGGGGTAGGTAAACAGAATGTAAATGAAGCTGGCTTGGACAGTGCAAAGCAAAGGCATCGACATCGAGCCTGGACTGTCAGGTAGGCCTGGGTCCTGATTCGAATGGTGGAAAACTATAAAGTTACGAAAAACTCGGCATGTTGTTCCTGAAAACCTCTCTCAGAGGCGCTGCATCTAGGGTGGAAATTGAAACTGCTTCTCTGCTGAAGGGGCGCACATAGCTCAGGTCTTCCAGGCAAAAATGGGACATTCCTTTTCTTTTTTTTTCATTTTAAAATTAATGGAGAATAATTCCTTTGCAATATTGTGATGGTTTTTGCCGTACATCAGCATGAATCAGCCGCAGGTATGTGTCCCCCCATCCTGAACCCCCCTCCCACCTCCCTCCCCACCCCATCCCTCTGGGTTGTCCAGAGCACTGGCTTTGCATGTCCTGCTTCTTGTATCAAAACTTACCCTGGTCATCTATTTCACATATGGTAATGTACATGTTTTAATGCTATTCTCTCAAATCATCCCACACTCGCCTTCTCCCACTGAGTCCAAAAGTCTGTTCTTTACATCTGTGTCTCCTTTGCTGCCTTACATGTAGGATCGTCAGTACCATCTTTCTAAATTCCATATATATGCGTTAATAGACAGTACTGGTCTTTCTCTTTCTGCCTTACTTCACTCTGCATAATAAGCTTCCTGACTTACCGACAGGCTTACAGACTGCAAAGTTTTGACAGCCCATGATTTTAGTCTCAAAGTTCCGCAGTGATTTCTGCGCAGGTGGCAGGAGTGACAAGGCGAGGCTGGGGATGTCACTGGAAAGAAGGCCAGAGGCGAGAAAGGCGTGATGATGACCCTTCAGAGCCGCGGTGACCTGGGGACAGATTGCTTCCTGCTAACTCTGCAGTTACCTGTGGTTGGGCCTGCTGTCTGCGAACGGGACACGGGGCTGACTTGCGCTTTCCCAGTCTGAACTGGCTTTTTAACTCTTTCACCAGTAATGGAGCCCAAGCTCCGCTGGCTGGGATTCCCTAGGCCAGTCCAGGCACGCCTGTCATCACTAAGGAAGTGTGGGGATGGGGTTTGGCCCCAGGACTCCTGTATCCACTTTGCAAAGTTGTTGGAGTAACATATTGGTAAGCAGTCTCTGCAGGAAACTTGGTAGCGAGGACAGAAGAGCCAGGGCTTGGGAAGAGGGCAGGATGAAACTTCTGAGTGCCTTGGGGCAGACACACCTGTCATCCATCACCGAGAGCCGTGTGCAGGGCACCCATGGGTCAAATTGCTTAGCTCTCCACACTCCGTTACAATTAACGAGCCAACCCCAATGACTGCTTTACTTGGGTTGTCCACCTCAGCCCTCCCCTAGAGCGGAGGGAACCGATTTAAACTTTCAAGGAAACTCAGATCTTCCCTCTGTGTGATAACAATTAGTGCCCAGCTCGAGGACCTTGGCGACTCACCAAGGAGACTGTTACAGCAGCCCAGCTACCACCACGGACGCAGAGGCTCCAGGGTGTGGGCTGGTCTCCCACCCGCATCTCCTGGTGGCGGGGGGTGGCGGCGCACTACACATCACACAGGAGTGATGAGTTGGGCTTTCCTGGTGGCTCAGACAGCAAAGAATCGGCCTGCAATGTGCAAGACCTGGGTGCAACCCCTGGGTTGGGAAGATCTCCTGGAGGAGGGAGGACATGGCAACCCACTCCAGTATTCTTGCCTGGAGGATCCCATGGACAGAGGAGCCTGGTGGGCTACAGTCCACGGGGTCGTAGAGTCAGACAAGACTGAGCGATTAAGCACACATACACACCTGTCACTTCATCCAACACCCAACCCCTCCAAGAAACAGAGGAAAAGGATGCACACTGCCTTTATAAGAGGGGCTTTCTCTCTGGGGGGCTCACCTGAGTTCCTTTCGGCCCCAGGCAGCTGACTTTTAGACAAGCCTCTAAGAAACAACCTTACCAAACCAGCCATTTCCCCTGCCTCTCTTCCCCGCCTCACCCAGTCCCCTCACAGCAAGGAAAAGGAGCCCACACCACCGTGAAATTCTGCCCCTGGTCAATTCAAGGGCCATGATGAATTTCATCTTCAGTGTTCCAACCTGTAAACAGTACATACCACGCTCCATGGGCGCCCCAGCCCTAGTCACCTTCATCCAACACCTACAAGGAAGTTCCCGGCGGTCATCGTGGTCACGGGTCATCACCGAGGCTCACCAAGGGAGCTATGTCCTGGGGCGGTGGTTCTCAAGATTTAGGGTTCGTCAGAATGAGCTGAGGGGCTGGTCATTCTGACCCAGCAGGTCTGGGGTGTGAGAATTCGGGCCTCTAGTAAGGTCCCAGGGGGTGCTGATGCTGCTGGATGGGGGACCTAGGAGCCTGCCCTGGGTAGATGTCTCACCTGAGAACCACCACAGATGTTCAGGTCAGTTCAGTTAAGTCGCTCAGTCGTGTCTGACTCTTTGCGACCCCATGGACTATAGCACGCCAGGCCTCCCTGTCCATCACTAACTCCCGGAGTTTATTCAGACTCATGTCCATTGAGTCAGTGATGCCATCCAACCGTCTCATCCTCTGTCGTCCCCTTCTCCTCCTGCCTTCAATCTTTCCCAGCATCAGGGTCTTTTCCAATGAATGAGTCAGCTCCTCCCATGAAGTGGGCAAAGTATTGGAGTTTGAGCTTCAGCATCAGTCCTTCCAATGAACACCCAGGACTGATCTCCTTTAGGATGGACTGGTTGGATCTCCTTGCAGTCCAAGGGACTCTCAAGAGTCTTCTCCAACACCACAGTTCAAAAGCATCAACTTTTCGGTGCTCAGCTTTCTTTATGGTCCAACTCTCACATCCATACATGACCACTGGAAAAACCACAGCCTTGACTAGACGGACCTTTGTTGGCAGTGTCTCCGCTTTTTAATATGCTGTCTGCTGCTGCTGCTAAGTCGCTTCAGTTGTGTCTGATTCTGTGCAACCCCATAGATGGCAGCCGACCAGGCTCCTCTGTCCCTGGGATTCTCCTGGCAAGAATACTGGAGTGGGCTGCCATTTCCTTCTCCATAATATGCTGTCTAGGTTGGTGATAACTTTCCTTCCAAAGAGTAAGCATCTTTTAATTTCATGGCTGCAGTCACTATCTGCAGTGATTCTGGATCCCAAAGCAGACAAGGCCACAAACACAGGGAAGACAGCTGGGGACCCCCGAGTGGGTGGCTCTTTCATTCATTGAAGGGGGACTCGTCTGTGTCCCTTCCTCTTGAATCTCAGTGAGCCTTTGACGGCTCTGATCAATAGAATACTGTGGCGGTGTGCCTTCGGGGCCAGGTCATGAGAGACCACACAGATCCTCAGAACACACGTCCTAAGGGAAGCAACCAGAGTTAAAAGATGACACACTCCCTGAGCCTGCCTTGCTAGAGAGGACAGGTGTGGCCCTAAACAAGTCTGCTTCCAGCCAACCCCGCCACAGGCCAGACACAGGAGAGAAGCCGGGCCTGTCCATCTGCCGACTGACATCAGTTGAAGCCACAGGAAGCAGAATTGCCCAGCGCAGCTCTGTCCTAATTCTTAACTAAAAGATTCCATCATATGAAATGGTGATCTTTTTAAGCCACAAACTTTTGGGTCAATTTGTTATTTAGCAATGGGTAACCAGCATGGGGTTCTGGGTTGCAAAGGGTAGGTTAGCAAACCGCACGCAGTGAATGGACGGGGCCCTAAGGGAGCCCGCGGCCTGCACTTGGCGCCCTCTGCACGGATCAATTCAGATCTGTCAGCTCCTCTGGCCTCTCCTCCACCCATCCGGTCAGGAGAAAAGCCAGAGCCCGGAGCAGCCTTGGCGATCCTGTGGCCCAAGGTTCCCAGCCCAGCTGGAGACACAGCGCACAGAGGGAGAACGATGGCAGTAACTGCCACCGCTCCCGGGGCCCAGTGAAGCCCGCCTTTCCTCCCGGGGCTGCTTTAGTGTCTGTACCCACCACGCCCTCGATCCTGAACTCGGCCCAGTGACCTCCTTTGCCCAATGAGGTGTCAGCAGTCGTGACGTCCAGCGCCCCTGCCCCTGCCATGGCCACGTGCCCAGGCCCGGCCGCTGGATGACGGGACATGGAGCTGACCTAAGCGGCCTGCGCTGCATGGGCCGAGGTCACCCCAGATCGGCCAAACCTGTCAGACCCCAGGCACAGGAAGGAGTCAAAACCAGAACCGTCCAGCCAGATCCGGTCTAAATTGCAAAATGAACACTCACTATCTTAAGCGTCTGGCTTTGGGATGGTTTGTTATCTACCGCTGTAACAGGACCAGTTCACTGAGGATCAGACTCCCTTAGGTGACGGCCCCGCCCCGCGGCTCCCGGAGTCCCGTCAGTCTCCCGTGTCTGCCTGAAGGCGTGGGGGACACCTGCAGGGTAAGTGGCCAGGGATTCCCAGCCTTGTTCCAAGTGTGTAACTGTATTCAGCCCAAATCTACCGAGCACCCAACAGATTGAAGACACCAGCGAACTGAAAAGGAACGTGGTCACTTCCAGCCTAGGAGTTGTCAGGGGCATCAAGACCCCCAGACAGGTGCGGGTGCTGCTGCAGCCCAGGTGAGGGACGCAAGGAGGCGGTGGGATCACGTCCAGACAGTGTCGACTGGGGGTCAGGGGTGTACGTAGGCCCTCTGTGTAGCGTGGCGGTCCAGGTGAGCTAAAATGACTAGGAGACACGTCTAGGGAATCAGTTTAACGCCCCCAGGGTTCTCAGACCCAGTACGGCCTCAGACGCCATGCGGCTTGCTACAGTCATCCTTCAGTTCTGATCTTCACGCATTTTAAAACGGAAGTGTAAATCCTAACAATGAGAAACAACAAATGAAAAGGGTAATCAATTTAAATAATTAGTCTTAAGCACAAATGATTCTGAAAAGAACTCTACATTTTTCATTGACTCCTAGATTGATTTCTAGTAAAAAAAGAAAACGTGAGACATGTATATTGCTGACCTTCATTTTTTACTTAAATATAGTGATTTTTTAAAAAGAATAAACAAAAAAAAAAAACAAAAAAACCTTTACAGCAAATATTTTGCATAAATATAAACATGCATGTCTACTTCATAATTAAGCAAAATAAACTTTCAGGCACAAGATTTTAATAATCATTAAAGAATGAGACAATTAAATCAAGACAGAAATAACAGGAGCAACAAAGACATTTCATGACATTTCAATTGGTCTTGTCGTCCAACCTACTGGTTAAGGCCTGAGTTTTATGGATCCTACCTTCCTCACCAAATGGAAACATACAATTTGGCTGTACCTAATGTATATCCACATAACAATTACTCTTTCAGAATAGTGTAATAAATACATCACATGCACACCCCCCCACACACACACACCCTACTTAACCAGCCTCTCCAATAGGGAAGTAATAAGGATCTTGGAATTTTCAAGTTTTCCCACCACTGAAACACACACATTAAAACCACACTTTAAAAAAATGATTCTGCTACAGAAATAAAAGAATTAATGAGTGGCATCATGACACATCTCTAGTTTGTTACGTTTCCCCGAATCACGCCTGTACATAATGCTTCGGTCAGACTTTGAAACCAGGACAGCCGGCGCGAACAGTCTCCAGCTGTCTCCGGAGGCCCGGAGTGTCCCCTGTGGTTCTCTGCCCTTCCCGCCAGGCCGTGAGCCTCTCCAGTCTGCTCCTGCACGCTCCAGGGAAGAGAGCAGAGAACCACAGGGCCTGCTTGGGGCCCGCGCTGACCAGCACTGGGCAAGGGGAAGGTCCGTGTGGACGCATGGCACTCCGGCTGGCGGCACCCACAGAGCCCCGTGAGCGGGGCTGGGGCAGGCGGCTGACAAGGCACAGAGGCAGGAAGAACAGGTCCAGCTTGGCTGGCAGGAGGGCACTTGTGAGGGGGAGTCTGTGAGGCTGGAGGCTTCATTTCCAACAAGCAAGGATTCCTTACTCTGCTGGGCAAAGCTGGAAGGCTTGCAGAAGCAACAGGCACAGGCTGTGCGGAGAACAGAACCAGGGCTGGGCCTGCAGCTGTGACAGGCCTGCAGGGCTGGCATGCGGGGACGGGGCAGGGGCTGCGTGCAGAACCCACCCCCCAGGCCCAGGCCACCGGCAAGCGCTGCCCAGACACCAGCAGGCACCGGACGGGCCCAGACCCCGGGTTGGCCACACACGTCAAGCCTGACGGGAGGAAACGAGGGAGAGAGGCTTAAATAAATCTATCTTTAGTCCAAGTTCCTGGTACCTGCCCCAGCTTGAGCAAGTGAAGAGCGGTGAAACAATTCCCACGTCTAGAAACAATCCAAGTCTCCCAACCATCACCTCGGGCTTCCCTAGTAGCTCGGACGGGAAGGCATCCACCTGCAGTGCAGGAGACCTGGCTTTGATCCCTCACTCAGGAAGATCCCCTGGAGAAGGAAATGGCAACCCACTCCGGTATTCTTGCTGGAGAATCCTATGGACAGAGAAGCCTGGCGAGTTACAGTCCATGAAGTCGCAAAGAGTCAGACATGAGTGAGCGACTCACAGACGCAACCATGACCTTCAGCTTCCCTGAGCTGTCATTACCAATAAATTAAAAACAATCAACTCATTATAAGGAAGTTCCTACCTGCCATGAACTCCATGAAGCCCCATGACGGGTGGAGGACCCGGCGCAGGCGCCAGCTTGACCCCAAGCACAGCTGGAAGAGCGGCGTGAGCAGGCTGCCCGGCCCTGCTCCAGCTAACTGGGGCTGCCGCGCGGGGGACACAGGTGACTTCGTGAGGCTCAACTCAAAGCCCCTGCCACCGGTCACCGAGCTTCCTCCTGGGTCCAGGCTGCTTCCCTCCACTAGCCAAGGAGAGGCCACCCAGAGGGGGGAAGGTCAGTCTTCAGTTCTCAACACCGCTGAATCGAAGCAGACACAACTTCTCAGGGCGTAGTCATTCAAATGCCAGAATGGGCAACTCCAAGCTAATGCACTAATTGTGGGACACCTTATCACGTCTGCTGTGTACGGAACGCTTCCTAGTGACCGGTTTTCCGCAACGACAGATTCATCTGGAAAGGGCACACTGCAGAAGGCAATCCCGTGACTTTCTTCTGGTTGCGTGTAAAAAACGAGTCTGCTTGGGAGCCAGGCAAGAACAGCGGTGCAAAAGCAACTGGGGAGCCCTGCCAACGCCTGCTCATTGCACACTGCACGCCTCCTACCCGGACCCCGGTCTGGAGAGCGTGTGCCCAGAGGCCTCCTCACCTCAGCCGTCCCACTCCAGTCCCCGCTGGCAGCCTCCGAGAGAAGTCCTCTTGTTATGGATCCACACAGAGCTGAAAGCCCCAGTTTAATTAAGCGAGTCACGTGCATCAGCACCATGGCTGCTGGCTTCATTTGCTCCCCGACTCACCTCATGAGGGACTGATGTATTCAGGGACTGCGTGGATCTAAACTGGAGCTAGAAGGAGCCCACACTGCTATCTTTTGGAATCCAGGAAAAGCTCTAACGCACAACACAGCTCTTACACAGGCCCACGGACAAGACTCTGGTTCCAATAAGAGATTCAGGGGTGGGAGCAGTAGGAAGGCCTGGCCTGGGGCAAGACACTGGCCCCACACCAGCCAGGCCCGTCCCTTCCTCGTCTGCAGACGTGGGGCTGAGCCATGATCCAGGTCCCCCCACTGACGCTCTCCTACGCCATCCTGAAGTCCATTTCCACACAGGCCAGCCAGGCTGGGTCAGACAGAACTTCCTCACTGCCGCGGGTCTCTAAGTGGAAGTGGTTGGAACATGCTTCCGTGCTGGGGTTGCAGGCTGCCCTCTCCCCCCTATCGGTCAGAGACTGAGCTTCCTTTCACTGGGGCAAACCACTTGGCCACGCTGGTGGCTACTGAGGTTACAAAGTGAAACACTGGCCAGGAGAAGTGACCTCTGAGGAACCTAGACCAGGGCAGGTTTGTCTGGTTTCCATTAACAGCGTTAACCAAACAGAGATACAATTCCGTTAGTTCTGCTATAGATCTACTTAAAACTTTGAAAGGTTGAGATTGTTCAAAAGTCACATGAGAAAATCACCCATCACCGCTAAGTTAAAGGCATGCACATCTGAGCGCTTCAGAGCCCCCAATCCCTCCTAGAGCCACGGTCCCCACGTTTTCCTCTCCGTGTGGACGCCACGCTAAAGCAGCCTGGTCTCGCGGCAGATCGGTGCACCAAAATGTTGATTTCAAAAGGTCCGGCTCTAGTCATCACTGTCACTGCCAGACTCGCTCAACTGCAAGTCATTTCCTATAAAGAGAAAACAGAATCAGACCAAAAGGACACAGTTTAAAAACGACTCCCCTGTGGTTCTTTGGCTGACTCTCTGGGCTCTCACGCTCCAGTAACACCAGGCTGGTTCAGTTTAATTATGAAGGAAAACTGATTCGGCTCGGCCACAAAACTGGCACAGTCAACATTTTAAAAGAATTGCTATTTTTGCATCTGCAAAGTACAGCAACACTGCACACTGAGGCAGAACAGGGAAGGATTGGATACACAGTGCTTACAGGTCTCAATAAATAACAAAAGATACTTATAACTAGCTAGTTACAAATTCACTATCTTGTAGAATTGTTCATATGAAGTTTCTCTATAAAAGCGAAAATAATAATACCCAGTTGGGTTTCCTGGTCAGGCAGCTAAATTCTGTTTATGCCAATAATATGCTAATGCAGCATAAACACACACCCAGCCCCTCTGGCTGGAATAGTCACATTATTTTACCCTTCAGACCTGAATTACTGAGCTCTGTAAAACCTTAAATTTTGTTCAGCGTGCAACATCTAGGTTTAGGAGTGAAGAATGTAAAGCTTTTCCATCTAAAAGAAGAAGAAGAACAGGACCCCAGCTGATGGCACCTGGAATAGAACAGAAGTGAACCTCTACATTTCTGGATCCCTGGTCTCCAGGCCATCTCCTCTCAACGTGCTCTCAGGACCAGGGTCCCTGAGGCCCTCTCACAACACTTCAACCTAAGGCCCTCCCTTTCCTAACCAGAAACCTTTGTGATGCCAGATTTTCTTCCTAGGCTTCAACCTACAAAACCGATGGCAAGGCTGAATGCAGAAGCAGATCTAAGACTCCCTACTTTGCACTATGCCAGTTAAAGAGACTTGCAAAATTTTAAAGCAACGTTACTCTTCACACTGAATATTTTTTTATTTAGAAAATTTTTCATAAAAGTGTCATTTTTATTATCGTATGGCTGATTGTCCTTTTTTTCAGATGAATCACTGAGTATTCTAAGCATTTTTCAGTTTTATTTCTAATGTGGTGAGCACTGACACAAGCTACAAACGTAAACGCTCCTCAGGGTTCTCAACAGTTCTTAGGACATAAAGAGGCTGCGGCCAGTCAAGGGGCCTCTGCTGTTCCAGACGTGGGGAGAAGGCCTGGGGCCAGCGAGTACCCCAATCAGAAGAGCCGAGCTCCATCACTCACGAAGAAGGCGACGTGCGTGTCAACAGCTCAGCGTAAGGGAGCTGAAGACTCAGTTCTGAGATTTCTTAACAGTTTATTTGGCCTAGGTTCAAACTGATCCATTTGTTTTTGGGGGGAAAAGATATAATGCACGCTACCATCGAGGAAAACAATATTATCACTCTGTATGTTTTCACATTAGGGTTTAGGAGATTTGTGCTATTTACTGTGTCTTTAGGGTTTGTGAGTTGGTTCTGGTTGACAATCCTGGTTTAAGTAACTTCAGTACTTAATTGTATATGTGGTATGCAAAGATTAAGGTCTTGCCATTGGAAAAGCTGCGAGCCAGGAAAGCTAATAAAGAGCCATAAAGAGCTAAAAAAGAGTTTAAGGCACTGGTAGGTAAGTAACATGCACTGAGCCATTTTTGGCTCTTACTTTCTGGAAGTAAAGGAAGTTTAGCACTGACTGGGTAAAAGGAAGAGCTGAGTTACACAGTCACAGAGCTGTGGTCATTCTCCAGTATGAATACCAGACGCCCAGTGTAAAACTTAGTATCCTGAACCAACGGGGAAGGGCGCTAAGTATACCTGAAATCCAGCTCAGCTTGTATCGTGAGATGGCAGAAGACAGCCTTCACTGGCGTCATAACAGTGCTGAACTCACTTAGGTAGGAGAGTATGGCCCAGCACATACGGGAGTGTGTGTGTGTGCTGGGGTGGGCAGAGGAGTGCTCTGGCCCCTAGCGGGCAGAGGCCTACAAGGCCGGCCCCACACGAGGGGCCTGTTAGACGTCTACAGTGTGGAGCTGAGAGCGACTCTTGCCTGCCCCACAGAAGCAGGGTTAGGACACCTCCCGAAGTCAGCCCAGGAGGACACCCTGCTCCAGGGACTCTGGCGAGAGGACAGCACACGACCCACGCCAGCCCGCCTCCAAGACGAAGACGGTTGCTCTCGGTGCCCTCTGCCTTACCACCACGAACTGTGCCGAAGGCCACCAGACACCACAGTGTCCCTTCCTTCCCTCCTGCCCAAGGTCGGCTGGCTCCAAACACATCCTAGGGGTGCCCGCTCCCCTCTGTGGTGGTGGGACCCCGCAGTCTGCTGGCACTGGGCTTTCAGGACCAGACAGAGAGCTGCATGGGGCAGGCAGGGCCCTTAAAACCTGGGATGCGCAAAAACAGAGAGCCCTGCCACTCACACATCTGCACTTCCCAGAATCCACAAAATTTAACTTGTGCCAAGAGAAGGAACCAACTTTTAGTTTTGCGCTTCCTGTTTTTTACTGCTTGGGGACTTGCTCCTTTCTGCTTCAAACTGTCTTTGCAGGACCCTTTCTTTTGCCGTAAATATCTTCAGGTTTACAGACTCTGGCGTAAGACAGACAGAAGCCACCAATCCGACCAGCCCTCCCAGCTCCGCCCTGGCCAACAGCGGGAAGGCACACTTACTGAGGGTGCTCATGAGCTGCGTGTTCCCTGGCGGCCGCGGGGCTCCGGTCCCGTTGGCCACGGCTGGCCGGCCGCCATAGGGCTGCGGGGGCGACGCGGGGCCGCTGTCCTCGCCGCCGCTGCTGGAGCTGTCGTCGTCGCTCCCCGAGGAGCTCTCGGAGTCCGAGGAGCTACTCCCGCTGCTGCTGCTCATCTGCTCGATGATGTCCACCTCGGCCCTCAGCTCTAGAACAGACGACAGGGTGGGGTCAGCGCATCGAGCTTGCCACATGCAGGGCAGGAGCAAAACCCAGAGCAACGATGATACCTAAGATGAGCTCCTACCTCTCCAGCCCTCAAAAGCAAACAAAACGACCCAAACCAACAAACAAAAACGAGTAACAATGGAAACACTTAATTCACCCAAAGTACTCAAAACGCACACTGGTTCAAGATAACGATTCTTTTACGAAATGAAGTTAAGTCTGTTTGGCCTTATCTACTTAAAAAATAGAAAAAGAAAAAAAAAAAAGATTGTGAATGACAGGATTAAACACCAACTAGGAGAAGAGAAATATTCTGCTCAGGGACTGAGAAGTATCTGACCAGGAACTGGAAGGTCTGAGCACTTGCTTTAGATCCATGTCTAGCCAGCTGGGAGACCCAGGTGGAAGGCAATGAATTTTCCAGGACGCTCTGGAAAGAGGAAGGCCAGAGCAGACGACCTCTGGGATCCTTTCCAGCTCGCATGGCCCACGAGGCTCACAGGAGGGGCCAAGGCTGCTGAAGAATGTCTTTCTCTTTCTCCTCTGTCCTCTTTACACATTTGACGGACAGCCATGCCTTTAGGTGCTGTGTTTGTATTAAACATAAAGCAGGAAAGGAACACGTTTTACCCGACCACTTCAGTGTCCGTGAGCATATTAAGAATCCACCACAGAACACATCGAGGAAGATGCCAGATTCACCTGTCCAAACACACCACGAGACCTTAAATGACTATGGTTCCTTTAAGCATAAATGGCAACAACCAACCACTCATATGGCCCAATTCCTATTCAGCTAAAGTGAAAACTTCCACAGAGAGCATACCAATCTCCACAAGGAAAAACAAAATCCAGATGCTTAACAACTGTGCCCCACACACAGAGTGATCTCATTTGCAAAAAGACAGTATTTCCACAAGGTGGAAAAGGCAAATTTCCCAAGGCCAACTTTGTATCTTTTCCTGTTTACTGCTGTTATGGGTTTAATTTTATTTCATAAAACTTCATAAATATGAAATACAACACTTACCTTCGTAACTTCCCAACAGTCTGGACAACTGAAAGCATCCACCGTGTGGGGGAGAAAACCACGGTGAGCTCTGCCTCAGGCGTGCACTGGAGAGCCTGACCACACAGCTAAGTGCTCGGAGGCCACTGGTCCTCGAGGAGCTCTCCCACATCACCCTGTTGTCAGTGCAAAGCACTGGCTGAGGAATCTGACCTGCACACGCTATTTACATCGGCACACTTGGTTCTCACCCCCGGCACCAGGAATTCTCTTCTCCCAAAGGCTTAAAGCTGTGCCATATGGACCTTCAGATGGTAGTCAGGCTTGTTTACACCCCGGGCCTCTAAGCAGACCGCTGCAAAGACAGCCAGAGCTCAAGCCACTGAACTCCCCCTTATCAAACGAGGTGAGTGGTAACCCCCGCACACCCATCACCTCTGGAACGGTGACCCCTTCAGAAACTGCTACAGTGCCAGAACGCCCATGCTGCCAGCCCCTTGCCTCCACAGAAACATCAATGCCCTCCTCCAAGCTGCTACTGGGGCTCCAGAAACTGCTCTCTACCTCTTTTGATGTCATCCAGCTGAGGTTCAGGTGAGGGGTTATCCTTCAAGGGAGAGGTTTTGGGTCCAGCCGGAGGCTTTGTTGGTGCTCTGAACGGTATCGGTGGTGGTGGCGGCGGCGGCGGCGGCTGGGATGGCTGTGGGGGTCGCGGGGGCTGCTGCTCCATCCGGGCTTGGATTTTACTGCTCCCCTCAGCTCTGAAATGAGAAGCAGTCTGTAAATTGGAGGGATAAAAACAGTGGTTCTCAGATCTGCCCCAGTTACCAAGCTCCTGGAAGCATCTGCAGAGCCCCAGGCTTCAGAAGACTGAATTTTATCACACAAACTACTCATTCTACTGCATTCCAGTTCTGCATCGTGCAGAGACAGATGGATACCACACTTGCTGCCCTCAAGGAGCTCACGTCTTTTCATCGAGCAGCAGCTAAGGCACTGAGGTAGGATATACTGTGATTCTGATAACAGAATAAGTAACTACTCAACTTCTGCACACTATAAAGTTATAACCACACGCAAATGTGTTATTAAAGAAAACTAGCTCTGGAAATACAGGCCTGTTTGCAGTTTTTACACAAATATGAAATACAACACTTACCTTCGTAACTTCCTAACAGTCTGGACAACTGAAAGCACCCACCGTGTGGGGGAGAAAACCACGGTGAGCTCTGCCTCAGGCGTGCACTGGAGAGCCTGACCACACAGCTAAGTGCTCGGAGGCCACTGGTCCTCGAGGAGCTCTCCCACATCACCCTGTTGTCAGTGCAAAGCACTGGCTGAGGAATCTGACCTGCACACGCTATTTACATCGGCACACTTGGTTCTCACCCCCGGCACCAGGAATTCTCTTCTCCCAAAGGCTTAAAGCTGTGCCATATGGACCTTCAGATGGTAGTCAGGCTTGTTTACACCCCGGGCCTCTAAGCAGACCGCTGCAAAGACAGCCAGAGCTCAAGCCACTGAACTCCCCCTTATCAAACGAGGTGAGTGGTAACCCCCGCACACCCATCACCTCTGGAACGGTGACCCCTTCAGAAACTGCTACAGTGCCAGAACGCCCATGCTGCCAGCCCCTTGCCTCCACAGAAACATCAATGCCCTCCTCCAAGCTGCTACTGGGGCTCCAGAAACTGCTCTCTACCTCTTTTGATGTCATCCAGCTGAGGTTCAGGTGAGGGGTTATCCTTCAAGGGAGAGGTTTTGGGTCCAGCCGGAGGCTTTGTTGGTGCTCTGAACGGTATCGGTGGTGGTGGCGGCGGCGGCGGCGGCTGGGATGGCTGTGGGGGTCGCGGGGGCTGCTGCTCCATCCGGGCTTGGATTTTACTGCTCCCCTCAGCTCTGAAATGAGAAGCAGTCTGTAAATTGGAGGGATAAAAACAGTGGTTCTCAGATCTGCCCCAGTTACCAAGCTCCTGGAAGCATCTGCAGAGCCCCAGGCTTCAGAAGACTGAATTTTATCACACAAACTACTCATTCTACTGCATTCCAGTTCTGCATCGTGCAGAGACAGATGGATACCACACTTGCTGCCCTCAAGGAGCTCACGTCTTTTCATCGAGCAGCAGCTAAGGCACTGAGGTAGGATATACTGTGATTCTGATAACAGAATAAGTAACTACTCAACTTCTGCACACTATAAAGTTATAACCACACGCAAATGTGTTATTAAAGAAAACTAGCTCTGGAAATACAGGCCTGTTTGCAGTTTTTCTCCCATTCTCTATTTACCACTCATTTTGTCACATGCCAGCTCTTGCTGGCAGACAGGCAGAGCATTCCACCCCAGACCAAGGAAGTACCATCAACAATTTATTTTGTAAATGGACTAACTCAGCACTTTTCAAACTTCGGGGAATTTCATTAAAGTGCAGACTCTGACTTAATAGGTCCTGAAATCTTGAATTTTAAACAAAAACTAAAGGAAAAAAAAACGCCGCTCCCCAAAAGAAAACCAAGAAGAAAAAAAAACCCCAAAAACAAAAAGCCCACAACAAGAAAACCACACCCCCGCGCGAGAAGGAAACCAACCAAAACCCGGCAACAAGAAGGGGCCCCCCCCCCGCCCCGAAACCAAGGAAGCCCCCGCCCAACGACCCCATCTCTCCGTCTGTGTGCCTGTGCTCGCAAGGATAACAGCACCACCTTTCCAAAAGTTACTCGTAAAGGTTAGATAATGCACGTAAAACATCTAGCACAGTGCCTGGCCTGTGATAAGACCTCAATAAATGGTGGGTATGTTTACTTTTTGTGGAATGAGTAAAGAAAAACAGCATGAGGAAGCATACACAGAAAAACACTGAACTAACACTCTCTTTAAAATTTATTTACTCTATTACAATAATTACTGTATCACAATAATATAACCACTGGGTTACTTCTATTTACAGAATAAAATTTGACTTTAAAATAAAATCTAATTGGCCTCATATGACACATGTAATGCCTGTCAAATTAAAAATTAAAAGAGATCACTATTCAAAAGAAATTAGATAAAGCTTTGATATTATAATGATCTCAAATGTATCTTGTAAAAATTTAATGTCACTCTAAAAAATAATATATATTACTCAATTATTCTTTCATAATTTTAAGTCTGTAAACTTAAATCTTATCCCTTGGGTGGTACTGCATCAACTACCATGAGATTAATAAAATTGACTTAATCATAAAGTTCACCCCTCTCCCCAGTGACTTCTATGTTTCAAGTCTTAAAAAACATTATTTATTTTCATTGCCTTTGAAGAAAAGATATTTTATTGACTTGTCTGAGAAGACACAGGTGGGAGTTGCTGAGACTGCCAACAGGACACTAAGTTCCCAGACGTGCACATTCTTATAAAATAACCGAATAGACAAGGTAAGTCTACAGAAATGGCACAGCAACCTTTATCCGCTTTTTCACATACCGTGTCTTCTTGACCTGGATGCTGCTGCTGAGCTTTTCCAGCACATATTCTCCAGTGTCATGATTGATGATCAGCACACAGTCCTTCTGGTAAGGCCGCTTGTTCCCCTTGAACACAGTCATTGGTGGTGTGGATCCCTTTTCCGCCACAAAAGAACAATTCAGACAATCAAACCAAATACTCCAGTTATGAATATCAAGACTGAATTTAGAGCTGGCTTTATCTCATCAAATCTCTTATCAGAACTAACCAAACAGGAATAGAAAGGGGACTTCCTTGGTGGTCCAGTGGCTAAGACTCTGTGCTCACAATGCCAGAGGCCCAGGTTCGCTTCCTGGTCAGGGAACGAGATCCCACCTGCTGCAACCAAGATTCAGCACAGTCAAATAAACATTTTTTTTTTTTTTTTTAAAGAAACAGAATAAACTGATTTGTATTTTATTTTTGCTTGGGAAGCCAGGAGTTAAAGAGGAAATAATATAACAAGAATCTGTAACTGTGCGACTAGCTCTAAGTAATCAAGAAATATATATAAAATTTTAAATTTACTATACATTTTCCAGAGATTTGGGAAATGTTACAAATAATAGTAAAGTGTGAACTGAGAAACAGAAATGACACGTTCATGTCTGACACTGAGAAGAGCTCTCACTATGAGCAGTAAAGCTAGTGAGTGATCTCTGCACTTCCTTGTAATAGGAAAGTCCAGGCTTCCCCTTCATTCTAAGTAACCACACACCTTCTCCAAGCTCACTGTTCTAGCTGGTTCAAGTACCTCAAGCCACTAACCTGCCTAAAGCCTTCCAAGACTGCCCAGTGCTTAAGACCCAAGAAGAAAACCTTCAAACCAGCCACCTGGCCCCTCCATTGCACCCGGCTCCTCTCACCCCGGGCTCTGCGGGTCCCAGGGAAGAAGGCACCAGTCCTCTCTCAGAACCGCAAGTTCTGTCTTGAAGGGATTTAACAAGGATTCTGTCTGCAGCATCCCAACCCCTCCCTCCCTTTCAATTATTCAACCTTCAAATCTGCTCAAAGGTCACTTCCTCAGGGAAGTCTCCCGAGATTTTCTACAGCAAGTGCTATGTTTTCCTACAGTTATTGAAACTCCCTAAAGGCAAGAAACACGCCTGTTTTCTTCAAGACTATATTCTCAGTACCTAGTAACGAGCCAGCACCACGGTGGGTGGATGTTAATATTTGCCGAATATACCGTTTAATCCCCTTGACAGAATCAGAAATTGGTTGGCTCCTCGACTCCTGGTTCATACAGCAAAAATTAAGAGCTGGGAGGGACCTTAGGGACCATTTGTCTAACCTCTTTATTTTACATTTGGGAAACTAAGGTCCAAAGGGAGATGATGTAACCTGCCAAAGACAACAACTAATGAGACAGCAGTTTAAACTGGCAGACAGTTTTCTGTCAGCACAAAGCTTCTCAGGTCTCTCTGTCTAGAGCCTTTTCTTTCTCTCACTGGTTACCAAGAACTTATCATGTTCCAGGACAGGCCTCGGACATGCACTGACACGTGTTCATTAAAGACTATTCTGTCTAATCCTTGAGATCACAGAGGTGCCTTGGTAAGGCTTCAGCAGTGTCTCTCTCTGGGAGGGTTCTCCACTCAGCTTTTAACCTGGGGCTCTGAATCGAGGCCTTGCCTGAAACCACGAGCCTGCACATCACCCCCTGCCAGATTCACAAACCACGCTGATCCTGCCCCTGCCTCTCCACGCTCCTAAGCTGTTGCTGTTTTATACCCATAGGGCACTTAGGCCTCTTTTTCTTCAGCTGTTGGGGGAGACTGCATGTGTCTAAGGGAGGAGCCAGGTTCCACCATGCCTTCTTTGGAACTAAAGGGAAAAAGGGAGTTTGGGAAAAATGACAAAGAATTTTTTTGCTCAGGAGCCTGGGAAGCATGAATTCCACCCCATCCAACCCCCAGAGTTCCTTTTCTCCTTATGTTGGCACTCTGGAGATCTAGAAGTTTTTAAAAAGGAGGAAATCAAACTGCAATAACAGAATATGAAGATTTACTGTGATTCCATATTGAAAAACAACAACGATGGAATAAAACCTACAGGGATGTGTGGCAGTGTAATTGTGACTTCATCGCCTTTGCCAACCTGAAGCTCTCCTTCACAGGAAGTATCTATAGACGCCGGCTTAAAGTCATCTAAAGGGAAAAAAACAAAGCATTTATTCACCAGGTTACTTGTACTAAGTGTACAAGGTATTCGCAGGGTATTCGCGTGTAAGAACGGAAATTTTTTGCAACTCAGATAAAAGAAAATACAAACCACTTAGAATTTCTTAAAATGTTATCTCACTGTGGAAAGCTTCTCATATACAACAGCAAAGAGAATAATACAATGAGTCCTGTGTACCATCACCCAGCTTCATTACCAGTTCTGGCACAATATTGTTTCATCTATACCTCCATATACTTTTCCTCTTATCCCCACTGGATAATTTAGAAGGAAAAAGGCTAGACTTTAGATAACATTTCATTAAGCAAAGATACTCCCTTCCCCCAAGTGACGGATGAAAATTCATGCCTTATTACCCACAATGAGGTGTTTTATTAGGGTTATTATTAAGATGAAAAGCAACAGAGTATGTTTTTAAAACTCTGTGATTGTAAAACACAATATGAAACATGAAAGGTCACAGCATGATATAAGTTGATTTCATTCTGATAAGAACTGTCAGAGTTAGGATTTGCTACACTCAAGTTCCATAGCTCTAACAAGAATATTCCTACAGATATCTGGAGCAGAAGGTTGAACTGTATTTCCAAAGGTTAATCCTGCCCATGTTTCTGAATTGCAGTTAAGGCACAGTGTGAATAGCCATCTTACTCCCTTTTAACACAAACCTGCCTCAAACAGCGGGCCACGTACTTCAGTCAAGTGTCTGATTTAAACTGCACATTATCCTTCATTCTGCTAACACATCAGCTTAGTAAACTGCTCAGGAAATGATGCTGCTCTTATGCCATTCCCAAAACCCAGCCCCTCAGAGGGTGATCTGCTGTCAGCAGGAAGCAGACTAATGGCCTGGCAAGTGACCACAGGAAAACAGAAGTTCATTATCTACTACGCCCTGTTTCAAGGTGTTGAGTCACATCTAAGAGCTCCTCGGACAAAAACAAGTCTTAACCAGTACTGGGGCTACCAAGACGCGAAACCAGGAGTCTGTGAATCACAGTGGGATGCTCCGGCGGCCAATTCTTCACCCAGGATACAGAGTGGAAAGGCCCTCCCTCAACAGAGTCTGTAATCATGGAGAAAAAAAGAGGTCCAGCATAATGACTATTTTCACATTCCTTACGCCTTCTGGCTTTTGCTTCCAAACATAGATCGAGCTCTAACTTATTCCTGGTTCTCTAATTTTACTTTCCACCCACAAGAGACTGGGTCTGGAAGAAAAGTCAGGGGTAGTCTGGTGACCTCAAAAAGACATCAAAGCACGAGACAAGCTGGCACAGATATATGGAGGAAAAGAAGACGGATGAGGTGCAGAGCTGCGGATTCTGGGGCTGCAGCGGGGCGTCGGGCAGAATAGCACCAAAGCGGGCAAGGAAAGAAAAGGAAAGAAGACAGGAAGGGAATGGAACAGGAGGGAGTGGAGGCCAACCCCGAGGAAAACGAGAAAACCTCCTGAAGCGTGGAGATCCCCAGTGGGGATCGGGGTGTGTGTGTGGAGGGGGGGGAGGCTGGAATACAAAGAAGCTGGAAACTGATGTGGGGTCGCAGCCCTTCGGTATTAAGAAGGGAAGGTGGAGGATGCCAAAGCGCCGGCGTCCGGGGGAGCCGCGCTCCCGGGACAGCGCTCGGGGGCGCGCGGGTAGCCGAACCAGCGCCCACCCGCGCAGGCCGGAAACGAGCTCGGGCCTGCGCGTCTGGGCGGGGGACGACTCTGAGGAGACCCGACAGCGGAACTTCCGGCGCCGAGGAGGGACTTCCGGGCCCGCAACGGAAGTAGCGGGGGCGGTGCCATGGCCGAAAGTCTTCTCTGCCAGGAGAATCCGGATTTGAGGTCTCTCCGCGGGGCGGGGGGTGGGTGTTGACCTGTCGAAGGGTTTTGGTTTTTTGTTTTGTTTTTTTTTCTCCGCGGGGGCTCCCAAATTCTGCTTTTGAGGCAGCGCCTGGCTGGGGGCTCAGCGCGCCCGTTCCCACCCTCCAGGGGAACCTGAGAACTGACGGGGGCGCCCAGCGCGCGGTGGACTAGGCTCACGCGGGTCGCCGCCGCCCCTCGCGGCTGGGCTGCCCGGCTCATCCGCAGGGTCCTAGCGGCCCCACTCTCCGCGTCCCTGAGCCTCTTCTTCGTCCCTTTCGCGCGCCCAGGGCGGCGCGAGGGCCTCCGTTCCCAGAAAGGGACGCCCCCTCGGATTCATGAGACAGATTCAGGCCACCCGGGCGTAGTAGCTCCGTTTTCCCCGAAAAACGCCGTGTCTCGCGTCCTTGGCGACGGTGACCGACCGCCTCCGACTTCGACGGCCGTCGTGGTTGTTTTTAAAGACACCCCCGTTTCACGGACACCGAACCCTGAGGAACCGTAAGGTTTCTCTGTCAGTTCTGGAGAGTGACTTTTTTTCCTGACTAAAGCGGCTTACTGACTGTTTCGGTTGGAATTCAGCCTTTCTGTGCGTGAGAGCCCTGGCCGCTCAGCCCCCTGACGGCGGGGTCTCTGTCTTGCTCTTTGTGACCTCTTCTGTAGTGGGGCAGGGCTTTGTGTAGGGTCAGCATCTAGTAAATGTTTGCGGGATTGAAATGTTAAGTGAAAGAACTATTCTGGAACCGCTAACTCAGCATCTTAAAAACAAAAACCAAACTGTTCTAGAACCCCCCCAACCGGATTTTTTTTTTTTTTTCCTTTCCTGCTAAGTATCGGATGCTGCTTCAGGCTTGAACCCAGCCTGAGGGACCACATCTGAGAGGACCCTGCCTGTGGCTGTGGTATCCGCGGGAATTCCTCAGGTTGTTGAGGAATGGAGAATCTCCAGCAGTGTTAAATGTTCAATATATGACCGTCCACGTAGGAGATGGCTGCTTTGCAAAGGAGAGGGCTGCAGACAAGGATTCTCAGCTCTGAAGAAGAGGAGAAACTGAAGCGAGACCAAGCTTTAGTGTCTGATTTTAAACAGCAGAAACTGGAAAAAGAGGCTCAGAAGAACTGGGACCTTTTTTACAAAAGAAACAGCACTAATTTTTTCAAAGACAGACACTGGACTACCAGAGAGTTTGAGGAGCTCAGATCATGTAGAGAGGTAAACTAATGCACCTTATTTGAGCGATTCTTCATTTAAAATGTGTAGAAGAGGGGTGTTTTATTGCATTCCCAGGGCGAGTGTCAGGTAGAAAATTTATGAAACCTGTCAAAGGCTTCATGAATTTTTGTAGCTTAGATATACACTGTCTCAAATAGTTTTAGCAGTTGCTGAGTTGTAAAATACAGAGGAGAGAGGACTTTAGTGGGCATTTTCTGTTTCTTTAAAGCTAATCTGAAAGTTGTAAATATTGAGTTCATACGGAATGATTTCAGTGACAGGTTCATAATGATAATAATGATGAATGCTTCACCACACCCCTTTGTATGAACTTAACAGTACTGTTCTGTAATTTAAACCTTAAAGTAACATGTTGAAGTTTGGCATTAGTGTTATTCCCACTTGCTGATGAAATTGAGGGACAAAGCTGTTTAAGTGATTTGTTCATTGACAGAACTATGGGGTGAGGGGAGGAGTTCAGATTTGAGTGCAGGCAATTTAACCTCAGAGCCTGTTTTGTTAGCCATTATGCTGTGTTTTCCCCACACCAGATTACCCGGTGTTGGACAACAGAGGAGGCCTCAGTTGCTTTGGGTTATCAGTTCACTGGTTAATTGTCTACTCCATGGGGGCAGAGACTTTGTTTCATGTTCTGGACTTTTTAGTTTGTTTCTTCATTATGTGGATATTGTGTACTGTAACTTTGGGTTCTCTTTCCTCAGTTCGAAGATCAAAAATTGACTATGCTTGAAGCTGGCTGTGGAGTTGGGAACTGTTTATTCCCACTTTTAGAAGAAGATCCAGATATCTTTGCCTATGCCTGTGATTTTTCTCCAAGAGCTGTTGAATATGTCAAGGTTGGTGCACCATCCATGTGCTAGGTTTCTACTTTCCTAGACTTGTTGGACCTAAATTCCACACCCGTTTTCCCAATTCCGGTCCTCTTTCTGAAGGACCAGCTATGATCACTGTATTCCTATTCCTGTGTGTGTGCATGTATAATACATACAGAAACATAGCATTATTTAGAAAAGTAGAAAGAAATACCAGACAACATCCATAAACTTGAGTCTAGATTTAATGATTGCTAGCATTTTGCTTCTTTTGCTTTGTAAACTTTTATAGTGTCGTTTATAGCTGTATTTAGTTAAGGACTGCATCTTACACTGTATTATGTACCTTAAATCTTCTTAGCCTAAAACATTCCTGCCCTTCCCCTTGACTTTTTCACCAATGACATTGAGTTTTGGGAGAGCAAGCAATTTTATGTAATGAGGTCCCACATTCCAAATTGGCTGATTGTTTCTATCATTGTTTAACTTGTTGCTTTATGCCTTGTGTTTTCTGTAAACCAGAAGTTAGATTTAAATCAGGTGAAATATTTTGAGCAAAAACACTTTAATAGGTGATGATGTAGCTTTCATATTGCATCCTGTCAGGAGGTAGTGATCTAATCTCACTGTAAGTGATGCTAGTTTTGGCCACTGGGTTAAGGTGGCTTCCTAATTCCCCTGTTGCACAGGTGTCTTCTTTTTGTCATTAATAGATATGTGAGGGATATTTTGGCAACATGCAGATATCTATTTTTCCATCAACCTTTCACAATTTTAGCACCTATTAGACTTTTTTAACAGTGATATCACATTGTACTATAACCTACCTTCTTTGATCTACATTGTATCTTGCCGAGTTTTTTCATCCCAGTACATGTAGGTCTACTGCATTTCATTTACCTCTTGTAGTATTTCATAGAATGGATATGCCTATAGTAATATTTGCGTTGTTGATGATCGTTCAAATTGCCTCTAATTTTTGCTCTCACAAGTAGGATTGATGTAATCAGAATTATACGCATGCCCCAAAACACATGTGTACATGTCTCTGTGGTGACTAATAGAAGAAATAGAATTCCTTGGAGGAAGCATACACATTAAAATTTAAATAGATAATGCCAGCTATCCATCCAGAAAATTATACCAATTTATAATTTCACCAATAATATAATGTTTTTTTCCCCTGTGTCATCAACATTTAACAGCAGTCCTTTTTTTTTGGCTGCACTGTACAGCATGTGGGATCCTAGTTCCTCATTCAGGGATCAAACCCACGCCCCCATGCATTGAAAGCACAGAATCTTATCTCCTGGACCACCTGGGAAGTCCCACCATCAGTCTTTTCTATATCTCCCAATCTTATAGGCCAAAAGTACTGTCTGCATATTTTAAATTATTTATTCTTTATAACAAATAAGGTTGAAGATTTTGTGATATGTAAATAAGCATTAGTTTTTCTTCTGCTTGTTTTTCTTCCTTTATTCTACATATGTTTATCCAGAGCCTAATGTAGGCCAATCACTGTTCTAAGCGTTGGGATGAAGTAATAAACAAAACAAACAAAATGCTCACCCACAGTGGGCTTAGACAATAGTATGAATTGTCTATTCATACCTATTCATACGTTCTGTCATTTTGTTTCCTATTTTGAGGATATATTCTGTTATATCTGTTGCAAACAGTTCTTCCAGTTTATTAGGCATTGTTGTATGGTATTGTTTTATTATAGAATTTAAGTGATCACATCAAATTAATAATCATTTCCTTTTGAGGTACTAAGGTTTTATGTCTTTTTGGAGTTCTATAATCACATAGATATGCCTTTTATAATTTTGGTTATGAGGATTTTTAATTAGTCTGAAAAAGTTTGGCCATTATTTTTCGAGTATTTCTTGGGTTCTTGTTTTCCCCGAGGATTCCAGTTATCTCTTTTATGCCATTTGCTATTGTTTCACAGCTCTTGGATGCTGGCTTTTTTTTTTTTAACTTTTTTGCCCTTTGCATTTTCAGTTTGTGTACTTTCTGATGTCTTATCATCAAGTTCACTGATTACTTTTAGGCAGTAAGTATTTCCTATTGATGAGCCTATCAGAAGCATTTTTCATTTCTGTTACAATGTTTTGGTTTTTAGCATTTCCCATTGACTTGTAGTTTCTATCTCTGAAATTACCTATTTGATCTTGCGTGTTGTCCACCTTTTTCATTAAAGCCTATAATACGTTAATCATAATTTTTTGTTTTTTAATGTCCAAACCTGTAGTTCCAGTGTCTGTGTCATATTTGAATCTGGTTTTCATGATTGTCTCTTCAGACCATGTTTTTTTCTTGCCTTATGGTGTGCCGTGTTCTTTTTTTGTTGAAAGCTAGGTATGTTATCCAGGGCAGTGGATAGGTAATAAGGATTTGTGATCATCTAGACAGGAGTTGCACTCTGTGTTACAGTCTATTGTTGTTACAGTTACCTGTGAGGTTTGTTGTTGCTATGGGCCCGTGAGACTTCAAACTCCTCTGGTGACTCTGTTGCTCCTGTTGGCTTCGGGTCTTCCCTCTGTGCTGCTCCCTGTGACGAGCCTGTCTTCTTGCAGCTTTCCCACAAGTGTTTCTGCCTCTCCAGGAATAGAGCTTTTCTTTCTCATCCCTTCCCCTCCTCTGTTCCTCTGTGGTCATGAGGCCTTTCTCTCTGCAGATTAAGACAAAGTTTGGGCAGAGCAGTGCCCTCCCACGGGGCAGTGATAGTCCACCAGTGCGCCAAGGACCCAAGTCTCAGATGGCTTTTCCCCTGCATATCAAACCTTTTCTCCCTTAAAGGGGCTGAGAAAGTCCAGCCCTAGAAAGAGCCCCGTTCTTTCTGTGAGAGTCTAAGCGATGTCCCTGGGGGAAACACCTGCAAGGGTGGCCTCCTGCTGGCTCCAGCCCTGGGAGCTTCGTGCTGTTTGTCACATTGCTAGTTTTCTCTCTCCAGACTGGAGGCTCCTGCCTCAGGTAAGTAAATGCTTGGGTCCTGCATCTTCGTGAAAGTGCTGCTCCCTCTCCAGATCTGGAGGTGGCTGGGGGTTCTTTGACCTCTGCTCTCTTGTGGGTTCACATGAAGTTGCTCTCTGTCCCGCTCATGGCCCTGTAAGGATAGGCTCTCCGTCTCTCCACCTCTGCACTGGAGCTGAATTCTTTTATTTCTCCTAGTGGTCTGCTGTCCTTTAACACAAGTGGATAGAGCTAGCTGTTCAAACAGTGAATTGAGGGAGAAATTCATTTTCCATTCCTGGTGATTGTAACCTTTGTTCTCTATCTTTTTAAAAAATTTAATGTCATTTTTGTCACCTATCTTCTGTCATATACACTACTGATCCCTCTAAATACATGGGTCTGTTTGGGGACACTCCTTAGGCTCGCTGATGTTGGTCCCCATTCTCAAACCTCACTGTTTAGTACTACATTTTGTAATGTATTTTGATGTCCTATGGTATGCCGCCTCCTCCATTGCTTTTCATCTAAAAATTGTCTTGGCTCTTCTAAAGGTTTTTACTTCCAGATGAATAAAATTCACCTTATCAAATTTCTTGAAATCTGTGAGGATTCGGTTGAGATCGCAATAAACTCCAATTTATAAGCAGAGATAAAGGTAGAACTGACCCATCCTATAACTTTATATATCTGCTCATTAAGGTCCTTATTTATATTAAAGACAAGTTTATTATTTTTCTCCATAATGCTGCTATATATGTGTTGAAACCCATTACCAGACTATACCAGGAACACACTTGTATTTTAAAAGGGGTTTTCTTAGCTCGATGCATCAAGGGAAAATATACCCAGAAGACGTGTGGGAGCATCTCAGTAAAGAGAGTTGGAAGGCCCTCTCATAGGATCCAGGGTTATAGTGGATGATTCAGAGGAGGGCTGACGGAGCAGAGGCAGGTTTTGATTTATCATCCCTCTGGAGTTAACCGCCTCCGAAAAGCCCAAGTTAGAAAAAGGGAAAAAAAAGAAAACCAAGTAAAAAAAAATCAGTAAAGGGGTTAAAAAAAAACCAACAAAAAAGAACCAACGGAAAACAAAAGGAAACCAACCCAAAAACCCTAATAACATAAATGGGAAAAGAATTTGAAAAGAAGATATATGTATATGTATAACTGAATCACTCTACACCTGAAACTAAGGCAACAGACGTTGTTAATCAACTATACTCCAATATAAAATTTAAAATTTTTTTAAAGAAAAAAAAGGAACAAAATTATTTGTTAAACTGAGATCTTGCCCCTCGTAGCAGTATTGAATATTACATGCTTTAATGTGAAAATGACCTGCTCCTCAGTTTACCCAGTAACAGTGATTGTTGAGTTCTCTGCAGCAGTGTACACATGGAAATAGCATCTCCATGTGTGTTGTGTTTTTCTATATGTATCAGCATGGATGTTGTGTTGAAGTTATTTTGTGTTTTTCTCCTCTCTAGCAAAATCCTCTTTATGACACAGAAAGATGCAAGGTGTTCCAGTGTGATCTGACCAAAGATGACCTTCTGGAGCATGTGCCCCCAGAGTCTGTGGATGCTGTCACATTGATATTTGTGCTCTCTGCAGTTCACCCTGATAAGATGCACCTTGTCTTACAAAACATTTACAAGGTTAGTGATTGCGAGCCTGCATTTGAGGGTTCGACATCCTGACTTTTCACTTACCTTCCCTCTGAGGCTCACATGCCATCTATTCCAGTCTCCCTGTTCTTACAAGGTGGACTGTGTAGTCGGTGTATGAAAAGAAGTTCTCCTGCGTAAAACGTCCACCTTAAGTTCTGATTGGCTTAGTGGTCATAGCTGCGCTTCAGAGCTTGGCCGGCCTTGGAGCGGCTGCCTGGGATCTGTGGAGCCCTGCGGTAAAGCCAGAGGGAGCAGGGCCAGCGCACAGGGCACACAGGCTGGAGTCAGCGTGCCTCGAGTTAAGCTTTACTTCCCTACGCAGGCCACTGCCTTCACCTCTCTGAGCCTCCGGTTCATTACCTGTGGGATGTTGAGATAATGGTTCCTAGATCTTGGGATTTGGTGTAGATTATATGAGATGTTTTTGCAGTGCCTAGTGCAGTGCCTAGTAATGGTGAGTGTTCTTAAAAGTCAGCCATGGTCATTGTTGCCTCTCCCATCGTTGCTATTAGAACCCAAGCTGCTGTGACTACCAGCAGGCTGCTGCGGCCCTCGGGGAGTGAAGTCACACTTCCAAATAATGAGACTCGAGACAGGCCACCTTATCGTCCTTCCCTTTGATGGTTCAGTTGAAAGTGAAGGATTGTGAAAGCTGGGGATTAGACAGATGGAAAAATGGTGAGGGTGGTCAGAGGGTGACTTGTGTGACATTGAGAGTATGAAGGGGTTATCACACTTCATGGTGTGGGCAAGACTTTAGAACATTACTGTGGGAGTGAGTGATTAAGGTAAGGTGAAGGATGAAATCTTTGAAAGAGAGAAGCTCAAATCATTGAATCCAGCATATTTGGAAGGGTAATTCATGTGTATGTTCATGTTAATTGGAGTTAAAAATGGAGTAGTGTACGGATAAGAGCATAAACCAGAAGAAACATTCATCATGAAACCGAGGGAAACGACCCTGGAACTAATAGATGCCCTCGTGGCTCAGTGGTAAAGAATCCATCTGCCAATGCAGGAGATGTGAGTTCGATCCCTGGTTTGGGAACATCTCCTGGAGCAGGAAATGGCAGCCCACTCCAGTACTCTCACCTGGGAAATCCCATGGGCAAAGGAGCCTGGCAAGCTACAGTCCATAGTGTCGCAAAGAGTCGGACACGACTTAGTGACTAAACAACAGCAATGATAAGGGGTAGTGGATGGTGGTATGATCTGACGGCAGGAGGTTCAGAGCTGATACTTGAGGGGAGAAACAGGGATGCACAGAAAGAAGCAGTGGGGGGCAAGGAGGACCCTGTTCCATCCCCACACTCGGTGATACTTGGGCCATGGGCGAAAACTGCCTGCTTGAGAGGTGGTAGGAAAACTGTCCTCAGGGGACAGTCAGGTGGTTACCACAGGCATGTGAAGGGAGCATTCAGGATACCAGTGATTTCACTGATGAAGGGTCCAGGGACTAGGAAGGAGCAGGAGACAGGAGTAAGGAATGTCTGGGACTTCGTGGGGAGGACAGTGCCCACTGTCAGTACTGTTCATTGTTGTGCTGGAGGTCCCAGTCAGCTGGAAAACACCAGAAAGAAGAATGAGAAAGAAATACATTGTTTTCAGGTAGTATAATTGTCTATTGAGAAAATATAAAGAATATTAATATTAAAGAATTACACAGGTATAAGATGAATGCCACAGAATTGTATGCTTTATTTAAAAAAGTAACATGCACTGTGTAATCATGTTCCACTTCATGATATATTTTACCCTGTTGTTTAAGTTTCAGGTTTTTGGTAGACTTTTTTTTTTTTTTGAGGAAATTGACAAGTTGATCCTAAATTTACATCAAGGAATAGAGTCAAAACATTCCTGAAGAAGGAGATGGGGAGATTTATACCTTACCAGATATAAAGGCTCATTACAGCTACAGTTATTAAGACAGATGGTATTTGCAGAGGGACAGAAAAATTGACAAATGAAATATGATAGCTTAGAAGAAGATCCATGTAAGTATGGAAATTTGATAGTTGATAGAGGTGACATTGGAAGATGACTGGGAAAAGGACTGCTCAGGAAGTGATTCTGGGACCATTGGTGGTCCCTGTGGGAAAAATCCAGAATTGTTTTCCTGCTTCACATCCTTATGCAAAAGTCATTTTGTATGGATTTAAAGGTGGATTTAAAGACTTACCTGGAAAAAAAAATAAAGACTTACCTGGAAAAGACAAAAAGTTTAAGCCTTTCAGAAGAAACTATAAGAAAAAAATCTTTGACTTCGGAGTGGGGAAAATTTTCTCAAAGACTGAAAAGCATTCTGTGCATAAAGATGATATAATAAAATTAGGAATTTGTTTTCTTCAAACGATAAAATGATACAAAGAAATTAGAGAGACCAGATGGGAAAAGTAACTTAAAATCTACTCAACTGAGAGCCTTCTCTGGTAGTCCAGTGATTAAGACTCCTTCCTTCCACTGCAGAGGGGCATGGGTTTGATCCCTGGTCCTCTGTTTGGGGAACTAAGATTCCACATGCCACTTGCTGTGGCAAAAAAAAAAAAAAAACCAAAAAACTATTCAACTGACAAAGATTAGTATTTCAGAATGTATAAAGAGTTCTTGGGTAACAGTAAGAGTGACAATGGAAAAAGTCTTTTTATCAAAGAGAATATACAGATAGTAAGTTAACATATGAACAGATAACCTCAGTAACCCAGGAAATGGAAAATAAAGCCTTAATGAGACACCATTAGATTATAATAAAGTCCAACGGGAAGTCTACTAAAGCCGAGTATTAATGAGGAAATCCCTCTTCTTGATTTAAATGAAAACATATAGCATGTTGTGTGTATTTTAGTAATAATGAAATGTTACGTTAAAAAAAAAAACTGCTGGCTTGAGCTGTCTCAGTCCACACCTGGCCTCTGTTGTAGCCTTTCTTAGGCTAATAAGTTCCATTTCAGCCTCCTCCTGTTTTAGCCCTCAGTAGAATTCCTTTTTCAGCTGACCTGGAATGAGTTCACAACAGCAATGTGAGGCCGCCATACGCGGTGACTGGTTCATTAATTGGATATCATGTGCTTCATCAGGAAGTTGGGGGGAGAAGCAGCCTCTCAGCCTCTGACAGTCAGACACCCTTTGGGCAGCTTTCCAGTCCTGTATGAGCAACCGCAGTAACATGCTTTTCCATGGTGGAGCTAATTACACTAGGGTGGTAACACCAGAGAAATTGTAAAACCACTTAATTTTAAACTGAAAGGGAACCTTAAAGTTGGCTTCCCTCATTTTTGGAATGGAATGGTGGAGTAAAAATCAACCAAATTTGTCATCAGAAGACAGGATTTTGGTCTTCCCTGTGCCACTGACTTGCCTTGAAAGCCCGAGCAAATCACTTGTACTCTAAACCTCACTCACCAAGAGTGGGTCTAACTGATCTCACCTGCCATCTTCATGGAGCTGCTGGAAGGATGAGAAGCCCAGCGAAGGCACAATCCTGCCTCAGAGGAGGTGTTAGTACCGTAATTTCTGTTTTACAGACGAGAAAACACATTCAGAGGGATGAAATAATTTGTCTAGGGTCATTCAGCCAGTTAACAGAAGAGCTGGTCTATGGATCAGGAGTTCCAGATTCCTGAGCCAGAGTCCCATGCGGCCTTCCCTTCCTTCTGAAAATAAGAGTGAGTCTCATACAAATAAAAGTTTTCAGATTGTTTTCTTCTCATTTAGTCACATTTTAAAATTCAGCATTTCTGACCAAAGTAAGAATATTTTTATCCAAGAGGCTCTTTATTGACAGTATTTTAAACGCATGCTAGTGTTGATAAGAATTCGCTAAGTGAGAAAATCTGCAGCACACTTGGAAGTATTATGGACTCTTTCATATTCTATTCAGGAAGAGGAAATATCAAATTACTTCAGATATCTACTGTAATAGGTAGTATATGTCATACGTTTTAAAGATTATCTTGCAGATGTGATGAGTCAGAATATACTTAGTAGTAAAATCAATGCCCCCTTTGAAGACCACTTTCACTTGGTAATGTTACACAGTTTGAAAGAATACCCACTTAAAAAGCAAGTGTCCCAGCAAGTACCTTGTTCTTTTCATTCTGAAAAGCATATGGCTGTTTGCTTTGTAGGAGAGGAGCAGTTATACGATGCTCCGCAGACTTTACCTTCCAGTTTTTGAAACGTCTGCTCTGTGACAACTGTTGGTTAAAGGCTGTGGTAAGGGACTCCCACCGGGGCCTGACACTCTTCCCTTCTCTACACACTGCGCTGGCCTGGGGCGCTCCACCTCAAAGCAGGAAGTGCAGCATTAGGGGGAGAACGGGTGGTGTCACCCTTCCCTCCCAGCCTCTCTGGCCTTGTTAAGAGTGAGGACAGAGTTGGACTGACACTCCCCCTCCCCATTGCTGCCCGGGACTGAAGACATCCCTGATCTTCTAGTGTGATGCCATTTGACCCAAGTATGAGCTCGGACTCCGCTGTTTAACAGCTGCTGTGTGATTGTGGGCACATCACTTCCTTTTTCTGCTACCAGTTTCTTAGTCTCAGGGGATAATCACACTTTTCCTCCCAGAATTGTTTGAAGACTTAGTGAGAAAATGTCTGGTCAGCTGTAAAGGTCTTAGCATGGTGTTAGCATGGTAGGCAGGCCCTACAGAACTGCAGTGCAGGAGACCAGAACTGACACTCAGGATGAGGAAGGCCAAAACGTGACTTCGTATTGATTATATATATATATATTTAGTCAGCTGTAAAGGTCTTAGCATGGTGTTAGCATGGTAGGCAGGCCCTACAGAACTGCAGTGCAGGAGACCAGAACTGACACTCAGGATGAGGAATGCCAAATGTGACTTCGTATTGATTATATATATATATTTAAAGAAGCAGTTTGACTTACAGGGTCATGGATTAGGAGATGGCTGATAAAGTGATGGGAGAATAATATATTAGTGAGGGTACATGTTTTTTCCTCTAATGTCTTCAGCATTTTGATTATGGCACTGGACCTTTGAGAGTGCTCTCCTCAGAGCTCAGGAAGTACCCCCCCAGCACATGGGACTTTGCCAGGTCTTACCACACCTTTGCTTGGCAGGCCCTTTTCCTTCGTAGTACGGGTATTTCAGTCTGGCCCTTTTCATCCTGTTACAAATGTAAGCTATTCTCATCTGTAAAATAATCAGGTTTTATTTTATAATAAGTTCTGTCTGACTGGGTCCCCAAGTTATGTGCAGCCTGTTTTGTTTTGTAGGTATTAAAACCAGGCAAAAGTGTCTTGTTTCGCGACTATGGCCTGTATGATCATGCCATGCTTAGGTTTAAAGCCGGGAGCAAACTTGCAGAAAACTTTTATGTTAGACAAGATGGAACCAGATCATATTTTTTCACTGATGGTAAGATTGCTGGAATTGGTCATGATTTCTGTTTCCTTGATTGCGTTGTCGCTGTGGTACTGCTTGGGGTTGGGGGCGACTGGACTCCACACACAGGTGCATTCACCAATGGTGAATGAACACACCAGTGGTGTGTAAACCAAACCCATTCACACACACCACTTACCGCATCAGCTGTGAGTTCACAGGCTCTCTAGTAAGGGTGTCCATTTAGTGACCTGGGTCACTAGACAGGCTCTGATGCACCATGTGGATGAGGCTAGGAGCAGTGTTGGGAAGGCTGGCGGGGCAAACCAGAATCTTCACTTTGTTCCCTCAGAAATCAAGCAAATAGGACAGGCTAGTGCCTTGAGATTACTAGAGTCTCACAAAGGTAAAAGGCCTTTTTCTATAAAAGTGATTGAAACTTCTTAAGTACATAAACTTGCTAATAGAGTGGTCTTTAAAAGGTCATTTTTGATAAGAAAACAGTCCAAATGTTGAATGTGACTTTAGTATTTTGAACATTCGTTTTAAGCCTATTTTATACAGGCATGCCTTGTTTTATTGTGCTTAGCAGACGCTCCAGTTTTCACAGATGGGAGGTTTGTTGCAATCCTGTGTTGAGCAAGCCTATTGGCGCCATTTTTCCAATAGCATTTGCTCACTTAATGTCTTGCAGTATTTCAGACTTTTTCATTAGTATTATATTTGCTATGGTGGTCTATGGTCAGTGATCTTTAATATTACAGCTAAGATTCACTGAAGACTCAAATGGTGGTTAGCAATAAAGTATTTAAATTAAGGCATGTGCATTGTGTAAACATAACAGCATAGTGTAAACATAACATATATACTGGAGAACCAGAAAGTTCGTGATGCTTACTTTATTGCTTTTTTTGCCTTTTTTGTGGTGAACTGAACCCGTAGTATCTCTGAGGTATGCCTGTAATATGAACTGTAGTATAATTACCTTCTTAAGCTCTAATTTTTATATTTGTTACACACACACACTGACCACACACAATGAGTGAACACACACTGTATGAGCGAGCACACACTGTATGAACACACACTGTATGAGTGAGCACACACTGTATGAGTGACACACACACACTGAGCACACACTGTGAGCGCACACTGTATGAGTGAGCACACACACTGTATGAGTGAGCACACACACTGTATGAGTGAGCACACACACTGTATGAGTGAGCACACACTGTATGAGTGAGCACACACACTGTATGAGTGAGCACACACACTGTGTGAGTGAGCACACACTGTATGAGTGAGCACACACACTGTATGAGTGAGCACACACACTGTGTGAGTGAGCACACACTGTATGAGTGAGCACACACTGTGTGAGTGAGCACACTATGAGTGAGCGCACACTGTGTGAGTGAGCACACACTGAGTGAGCGCACACACTGTGTGAGTGAGCACACACTGAGTGAGCACACACTGTGTGAGTGAGCGCACACACTGTATGAGTGAGCACACACTATGAGTGAGCACACACTGAGTGAGCGCACACACTGTGTGAGTGAGCACACACTCTGTGAGTGAGCACACACTGTATGAGTGAGCACACACTATGAGTGAGCACACACACTGTGTGAGTGAGAGCGCACACTGTGTGAGTGAGCACACACTATGAGTGAGCACACACTGTGTGAGTGAGCACACACTATGAGTGAGCGCACACACTGTGTGAGTGAGAGCGCACACTGTGTGAGTGAGCACACTGTATGAGTGAGCACACACACTGTATGAGTGAGCACACTGTGTGAGTGAGCGCACACTGTGTGAGTGAGCACACACACTGTATGAGTCAGCACACACACTGTATGAGTCAGCACACACACTGTATGAGTCAGCACACACACTGTATGAGTGAGCACACACACTGTATGAGTGAGCACACACTGTATGAACACACACACTGTGAGTGAGCACGCACACTGAGTGCAGGGTCTGGGGCTGTGCTGCTGGTGGGGAATCCTGATGGGACGAGGAACATGTGATCCAGGTTGGTGATCCTCTTGGTGATCGTTTGGGAGTTTCTGCTGACAGGGAGAAGCGTGTTAACTCCCAGAGCAGAGGCTTCTCACCTCCTCACAGTGAGGTTCCCTCAGCCTCCCGCTACACTGACTGTTGCTCAGGGTGCAGTGCCCTCCAGACTGCAAGCACTGCTGATCTGCTTGTCTTCCAGAATTCCTCGCGCGGCTCTTTCTGGACACAGGTTACGAAGAAGAGGTGAATGAGTATGTGTTTCGTGAGACGGTGAATAAAAAAGAAGGACTGTGTGTGCCTAGGGTTTTCCTTCAGAGCAAGTTCCGAAAGCCTCAGAAGACTCCAGCTCCTGTTACCCCCGTCCTGGGCCATGAGTCCTGACCTTTCACAAGGTTGATCTCTGTGCCTTTCCTTGACAAGCAGAATTTAAACTCACTCTTTATTTTGTGTATTTTTGTATTTTAACTTTTTTAAAGGGATGTATATACAAATAAAAATACAAATACAATAGCAGTGCCTGAAAAGGAAAGTTTTATGGTATAACATAACATTCCACGTACAAATGCAGAAGGGCCCTGAGCACTTAAGCACCCCTATTATTCATCGTTCCTGCAAGTCTAAGTGTGTCTCCAAGCAGCATGTCAGTCAATGCTGTGGAAGAATGAGGCCAAATAGACCAACATAACACCTCCAAATGTATTTTTAGCTTGAAGGAGTGCTCTTTCTCCACTTCCTCATATTTGCCCATTTTCCTCTGCTTTGACTCATTTGTGTGCCACCTCAAGACCAGTGTCTACAAATTCCCTTTCTCCTACGTCTCAAGAACAGCCCCTGGCTCCCTGCCTCGTTCTCAAGACTCTTCAACTGTCCCTGAGGGAGAGGGGGAGGTCGTCCCCTGTCCCCGCATCCCACTGGGACATGAGGCGGTGGCCGCTAGGCCGTCAGGACCGCCTGGCCCAGTGCTGAGGTGGCCCGTGGGACTGTCCATAACCTGTTTCCCAAGGGGTCCTGTGTAACAACTTTTACTTTACATAATCAGAGTTCTTTTGGTCTGCCAACAAAAGTCGATCCTGGAAGCCTTTATGTTTCCCTTTTTGCAGAAAGCTCTTGATGAGAACATGTGTCTCGAGTGTAATGTCTGGGCTGTCCACACAGCCAACCAAGGCCCTACAACCCCAGTCACCTCTGAGAGGGGGTGGCCCCCGCGGGGAGGGGCTGGACACAGTCCTAAGT